CGTGTGCGCCTTGGATTTGGAGAAGCATGCGCCTTGGAGGGGGGGGCCCTGACTCTGCACCCCTTCCCCCAGGCCGAAGGCTCGAGAATTCCGGAAAATCGGAAACCGCCTCTGCTTGCCGTTGCAAAGCACGAAGAAGGGAACGTTCATGTTGCAACTGCTGTAAAGCTGTGGATGAAGCCTCTTCGACTTGGCACGACGCATCTCCAGTGGTTGCTTGGGTCTGAGGTAGGAGGCTTTTCCTGGCAGCACTTCTGCAGCCCAGATTACTCGGCAGGCCTGTTGGTGTGATGAACATGAGTCATCTTCAGTTCTTACACTGCTTTTGTCAAAGTTCGGGAAGGTTCTGGCGAAGCGGTTGCGGTAGTGGCTGCCCTTATTGAGGGCATACCTGGTCTTGTTCCAGATCGACTGGAGCCCAACGAGGAGATTTGCTTCTGGGTCGGCTACGCAGATGTCCGCCGAGTCCGGCCAGGATGTGCTGAGATTTCCTCCGACGCTGTTCTATCATGTAAGGTGACAGCGGCGGGCTGGCTCGGGGTGCTTGGAGTTCTAACTATCCTTGGAGCGGACCTTCTGATCTTCCTGGCTGGATGGAAACCCAGCGTGAATACTCAAGTTCATTCAATCATCCGTAAATGTGTAGATTTTTTGAAATCAGTTGCGGTTCTGTCACGCCCTCCATGGCCCAGGCTCCGATCGATCCTGCTCCTCCTGCTTGGGGGCTTCCTGGCTCTCTGTAGCGCTTCGTCGTTGCTGCTGGCAATTTGGCTGAAGACAATCGGAGAAACTTTGTCCCCATTCTCAAAGGCCTGGGCCTTGTGCTGAGGCACTCGGGGCGCTGCTGGTCATGGAGCCCCGAGGTCTGGGCACTGCCCCCGGTGCCATGGCAGCGTCTGGACATGTCTGATGACTTGCATGATTTTTATGATTGTACGACTCGGAGCCCTCCGGGCAACCGCCAGCGGCCGGCTACGTTGGCAATCAGGTCTCTATTTTCTGTCTGGCTCGGTCTCAGCTGCATTCTTGGGCGCGGAGTGCTTAATTGGATTTTGGCAGAGTCAGAAAGGACCATAGCGCCACAGATTTTTTTCTGCATGGACACCCTGCTCCGAGACGACGATGGTGCTGTACCAGGCCTCGAAAGCAACGCCAACCAGACTGCAGGACGAGAGGCCCAACTGGAAGGAGCGAGTCTGCGAGAAGTTGCTGCCTCGTGTAGCTTGAGCCTTGGCTTTGGTGGCGCGTTGCGCATTGCATGGTCAGGACGAGATGGAGGGGCTGACGGAGGAAGAGGCAGGTGTCAGTACATGGCGACAGCAGGTGGAAGTGTCATGGTGCCTTGTCGACACGCCGCAGTGGCAGTGACACGGATTTGCTCACCGCAGCGGCGACATGCACGGCGACGGATACTCACACTGCGACAAATCGACCACCCCACCCTGTCAGCGGAACGATGCCATTCTAAATTGAATCCAGAGTCTCAAGCCAGCCTTCAGTCTCACTGTTCTAAACGTTTCGCTCGGTCACTTTGCCCGCCCTATGGCAGGCTCCATACCTCAAACTGAGCCGCATGTCTTAGACGCACTGTCGAGTTTTAAATCTGAACCTTTCGATCGGGAAGTTTTGAGTTTCGTAGCTTGATGCTAGATGACCCTGATTTTGCGATGCGCGTCGGAAGGAGCGAGCTCGGATACAGCAAGCCTTGGTGGAGTGTGTTGACAACTTGCACGACATCCCGCGACTGGACAGTTCCTTCTGGTGGATTAGAAAGGAGGCTTAGGAGAGCCCAGAAACTGTAGACATTGTTGGACATATGTTCGGGAATGATGGGGGCTGTCCAAACTGATGCTCATTGCGCACATTCATGTGACTCATTTGTGTCCGCCAGGACAGGTATAGAGTGAGCATGCACATCCTGGAAGAGTGCGACATGGAGGACTGAGAGCATGTGTTCCGGGGTCACTCCGCACACCTGAGATCTGCATACGAGGACCTCAGCTATGAAGAATGGATCATTGAGGAGCGGCTTCGAATGAAGACGGGCAAAGCACGACGAGCGATGTTGACTGAGGACTTAGTTTCGCCGCTTGTGTTCCAGATGAAGCCTTTCGGACGATGACCCTGCTAAGAGAGGAGGAGCTGAAACGAGCCACGATTGAGCTTCGCATCCGACGCAGTCCGCAAGAAGCGCTCAAGAAGGCTTGGGCCTTTTCGGGCGGGACAGAATAAAAAGACACTTCAACCCATGTGTAAATGCTTGTTCACAAGCCGACTTGCCGGACCAGCTGTGGGACTGCAGACCACGTTGCAGCCCCCTTGCCAACTCCACACAGGTGCTTCAAATGATGGTCGAAGAGGCCCGAAAGGGGCGCGGAGCGAGCAGAGTTCCCGTGCTTGGGACTTTGTTGGGCCGATCCCCCCCGATTGGTGTGTGCCACAGGCTGTGCAATGTTCTGCGTTTTAAGTACTTTCGGTTCTACATGAGTACTGTAGCTGGCTGGAAGTGGAGCATCTCAATGCTGCTCGGAGTTCTTGAAAGTCTTCAGCGCAGTGTGGCCAAGGTGCCTATGCTGCAAGAGGCTTTTCAAGCAGCTCGGATATTCTGACTCGACCAACATGGAGCTAATGCCCTGCCCATCGCTGCAAGGAAATCGATGTCACCTTGCGAAATCGCATTACAACGCGGGAATTGCTTGCAGCCCTCAGCTCAGCATGCGTCCACTCCAGAGACCAGAACCCGGAACGTAGGGCTGCACTCGCGAGGCGCTGAAGGTGTGCGGCATCTTCATGGAAGGGCCTACAGCCGAAAAGCTGCTTTGGTGGTTCCATCGAGAACAGGAAGGGGCTGAAGGGGGGAGGAGAATTGCACTCCAGCCCGGCCTGCCAGGACTCGCCAGATGACGGATATCTGGACATCGCACAGTTCATTTTCCTATTCAACCAGGTGGCAGATATGATGGCCAAAGAAGCTTGACAGCCGGGAGGGGACATTCTGTTGCTTTCCCACGCCCATGTTTGACCGAGGAGACGATGATGAAGAAAGCTTCAAGGGGGCTGCTTAGCCGTGTGTGGAGACTGTGAACTTGAAGCATCGTCACAAAGAGCGGCGTCCCTTGATCTGAGGTACACTATCACCTGCCGCGTGTCGTTCATGGCCAATCTTGTCTTTTTGTGCAGCTTGGGCATCCGAGTTGATTTTGCAGGGGGAGGGGTAGGGGTGGATGCCGGGCTGCGACAGCCTGTTGGGATGCCTGTGGCACATCCCTTTGCCCGTGCTGTCGGGCTCCGCGCCTTGTTGCTGGTGCTTTCAGGCTTCGTCCTCTTCTCAGTCACGCAAGAGTCGGCTGATCCGTCGTGGGACATGATCCTGAACGTGTTCGGGAGTGCTTTTGTACTCCAGTTCTGGCTTGTTATCGGCTTCCCGATGCGCGATGCTGAGCACATTCTCGACCTTAATCAGCACCTGTTGAGCGAGCCACCAGCCACCAACGACTTAGGCTGTGTTCAGTCATCGGCACAAAGGCAGCCGTTTGGAATAAGTAGCTCGGCTGCACAGATGTCGCAAAGCCCGCGGGGGATCGCAAGGGTGCCCATGCACAATGGCAAGGCACTTCGTGCGGCAGCTTTTGAAATTTATTCGATGTATCTGTCGACCTGTCCTTCGCATGATGGGCTGTATGTGGACGACATTGCCGCTTTGCTTGCAGTCCCAGGGTGGTTGGGCTAGTTGGGCTTAGCTGCTCAACTTTTTTTTGCAGTGGCCCAACTTGCTATGTGCAGGGCTCGCATCCATGCCATATTCTGACCATGGACTGCAAATAGGTCCTAAATAAGCTTGGCTGAATGTGAATCTTAGCTTCTTTGCAGTGTTTGGTTGTTGCTTGTTCTTGTGTCGTAAAGTTAAGACTCACCTTGTGCAAGGTGTGAGAGCCGAAACAAGCGTGGGGTCAGTAGGACTCTGGGGTCAGCGATGTTGTGCGTTGCGCCATGGCACAGGAGTCGGATTCGAGCCTGCTGCTGCGCCATTTGCTGCATATGTTGTCCTCCGGGGGACTACGACGACGACGAAGAGGTCGATGAAGAAGCTGGCCCTGGCGGCCATGGCGGCCAGGTGCCGGCGCAGAAGGAGCCACGAGAGAGATCACAGCTTTGCTTTGAGAGTCTTCCGCCTCCCTGGAGGAGATGAACGACTTCGATTTGTACCCGATGGATGCCGTCTCGGACTTCGGAACTGACTCGGTCAGCTCGAGACCCTTCACTGGCGAGGCGGAGGCACCTGATGACACGCAGGAGGTTGCTGAGCTGGTTTGAAAGCCTGAGCATTGGCATGCCTTACTCAAGCTTTTGCGCCACAACCGGTGGCCTTCCTAGCCTGACGATGTGCAGGCTACCATATCATGCTCAGGTCACGTCACCGGCGGAACCTGAAGCTGCACAACAGACTATTCCACGATCTCGAACGCCAACACCAACTCGCACGTCGTCTCGTACACCACCCAGGACACCTCCCAGAACCCCTCCTAAGTCGCCTCCGCGGTCTGCGCAGACGCTGCGAGCGGCTCGGCCACTGTGTGCCGGTGTGTTTACAATTTGCAACAGCGTGTCTTGTCAGTAGCAACCTCGCCAAGCTTTAGATTGGGATTCCTTTCAACGGGAGAGATGATCTGCGGGAGTGCGGGGGTTTCAGAGCATTGTGTCATTATGTGGCCTTTGAACAGCTCCTGGCAGGCACGGCTAATGTTCAAAAGCGAGGACGAGGTCCTTCATTTCCAAGTTTCATCTCAGGAGCGGCAGAGCTGAGAAATTCATTGTCGGAGCGGTTCCGATATGTTCCGATCCTGTGCTGCAGGAGAACCGCAGCCCAACCCTATCGCCGAAGCGAGTTTCAAAACAAGAAGCTTGGGGCATCGGCGATCCTTCTGAAGGGCAGTTTGGAGCTAGGAAGAAGCGGCGTTCGAGGAGCGACTTGAGTGCTGTTTTCGCCTTTGGACCTGTGTGGCACGCCAGCAGGAGGGCCTCTCGCCGAAGCTCAGCTTGAACATAAGCAGTGGCCGCAGAGATTCAGTCTCCCGTGGGGGTTGTGTCCGCTGGAGGCTCTTCCAGAAAGGGCCGAGGCCTGGTACCCGCGGATTCATCGAATCAGTGTCCTCCGTCTCACGCTTCTCGCAACATCTTGTCTGGTTCACCCCGCTGCTCTTGTGGGAGAACCCCTTTAGTCCTCTGTACCATGTTCTGCATGAGCTGAACTCTGCGCTTGGCCGTGCTTGCGCGTGAGGGAGTGGCTTGCTCGGCTTTGGCTTCCAACGGCGTGGAGCGATAGTGACCTGACGCGCTTGGCAGAGAAGGGCCGCAGAGCTTGCGAGGTCGCCGTGACAGACTCAGGTTGGCCCGGGAGCTCTCGAGGAGCCCGCGTCCTCACGGTCACCTCATGCATCACCGAGGGCCTTGTCGGCATCGCGGCGCTGCTCGACAGCATGTCTGTGCTCTGGCATCGAATGAAGAGGCATTCACAAGCTGTCGCAAGCATAAGGTACAAGCAGGCAATCATTGCAACTTGCCAGAAATCAAAATGAACAGCCTGTTCAGCATGAGACGGAGCTGCTCGGCTTCAGTGGTGCTACATGGTTCCGGATGTGACCTGTGCTCAGGGGTTCGCAAGGATCAGGCCTGAGCCGCCTCGTGCCAGCAATATCTCAACAGTGGTTTGTGGCGTTGGGCGGATGTGTGTAAGTGATGCTCTGGCTGACTCTAGCTGCCCAGGTCGGTCACGCTCCAGCACGCGATCCCTCAACAAGAAGCAGAGAGGATTCTGGGGCATGCTTTTGGGTCGGCGAGGCAGCGTGAGCAGCTTGAGCAGCAAGGCCCGGCGCGAGATTCTTGTCTCATTATGCGGCGTCACAAGAGCAGTAGTGCTGGTCCACTCCGGCCAGGATCAAGCGCAACTTGACAGCCGCCAAGGAAAGGCTCCAGGTTTTCCCTCCTTCCCCCCTTTACTTGCTGACGCGCTCGCTCACTCCCTCACTCACTCCCTCCCTCCACTCGCTCACTCACTCACTCCACTACTCTACTCACTCGCTCACTTACTCACTTACCTACTTACTGGCCCACGCACTCACGTGCTTGCGTATGTGCTGACGTACTTAAGCACACACTCACTTACTTTACTCACTCTCTCAATATTGTTTATTTCAGTATTTCTTTCTTCTCGTATGTATATACATACATACGTATGTTACACTGAGTGTGGTATACACATGTTACACTGAGTCTAGCATAGCAGAGCTTCCGCAGTGTAGTGTCACCTGCCTTTCTCAGCTGCGTTCGAAGAGATTGCGGTTCAAGCCTCCTAGAAGGAGCCACGGCTATGGATTGCCGCCCGATGCCTGAGGGTCTTTGGTTGTTGAGCGTCGGGGGCAACATGGAGCGGTCACAACATTTCTAATTGAGAATGAAGGCTCGATGCAAAAAATCGCAAAGTTGCGGCGGATAAGATACTTTTTTCCTTTCAAATCCAGTGGCGACTATCTTTCTATGTGAGCAGTGCCCAAGGCGCAGCTCATGGGGGGTTGCGAGCGGACCTCGATACCTAGTCCAATTCGTTGGGTGTCGCAATATGAGCTATGTGCAGTGTCACAGGCCTGCTTTGCAGGATAAATATAGAAAGACAGAGAGAGACCGTCTTGCCACGACCGAAATTCCGTGCTTTTGATAGCGCTGCTCTGACCCTGCTGGGCCCCAGTTTTACTGGAGCGGCAGCATAGTCGCGGAGTCGGTACGGTTGAAGCTGTGTTGGATCACGGCGTTCAGTCTTGGCTTCTTGGACTCAGGTACGACCCGAGTGCCTATGAAGAAGCAGCGCAGCGGGCCACCGCTGCCGGCGGTGGTGTGATATCGAGTGACATGGCCGATTTCATGCTGACGAAATTTACGCCGGCTCCCATCTAAACCGTGAGCAGGTTTCCGTTACTTTCCGTTTCCCATGCACATAACATGGCAGCAGTTCTGTCGCTGGAAGAAGCAGACCCTCCAAATGCTGTCCGACGCAGTTCATGAACCACTTAGGGTGCATCGTGCTTTTTTCATCCCAGGTTTTTCACCGATGCAAGTACGGGACCTGCGAGCTCCCGAACTTCTTGCGCCCACACCGCTGCAGGTCTTTGCTTTACCAGGTTGGACTTATCGGCCAGACCAGCGCATGTTTCCTCAACGGCCCCTGTCACTTGGCAGGGAGCACAGAGACTGAGACGGAGAAGGATTTGAGCCCCCGTTTTGGCAGAGGCACAGTGTGCAGGATATTTCTTGAGGGGAAAGCGTCCCGAGCCGAGCCCCCGAAAACGGAGGCAAATTCGCGGCCTCAGGTAACCCAGAGACGACGCAGAGTGCTTCTGTGCTGCGCAGGCTCCGTGAGAAGTTCCGCGAACAGGAGCTGGAGCAAAACTTCAGGTACGAAGCCGAGCCGCTCGCAAGTCTGTTGCTGTCTGGTGCCGGAGTTTGCTACATTTATTTTGCTCACTCCTAACCTTTCAGGTTTTATCCGTTTTCAAGTGCTACGATGTCTCATGCGCATGAAGAGGAATCCAACTGGGTTCGGTCGGTTCCGAGCTTCTCAGCTTTGAGGTACCGTGGCCATTAAATTGCTTGATGCCAAACGATGGCAGAGACATCGCCGTTCGTGAGTGTAAAAAATAGGGGATGCTGATGTCCTGTAATCTTCCTGATGGAACTGCCCAGAGCTTTCACTGGGAGGCCTAGACAGAAGCTCGTCTGCTGCGAGCTGCAGCAAGACATCTATGTCAGTTGCAGGTGGTTGCGGTGTTTGTGCGGCCGATGCTTTTTCAATCTTGGTCATTTGCACAGCCCCGCCAGGCTTCATGGAGAAGAGTGGATCGTTGGCAAGCTTCGGCAAGGATGAGGAAGGGTTGCGTTCGCCTTGAGGATGACAGGCTAGACTCGAAACTCCGGGCACGGCGAAAGGTCGCTGGAATCGAGAGTTGCTTCCAGCTAACACTGAGAAGCTTCTCAGCTAGATGCTTCAAGTCATCTGTAGATGTTGCCTGTGCTACAATTTCCATGCATGCTTCTTACTCCCGACTTCCTGGCACAGCCAGAAGTCAGTGGCCAGCCCAAAAGCTGATTGTAGGGCCATCGCGGAATTACAGACTTCCTGTGACTCCTTAAGGGAGCAAACGGAAGGATTCCAGTTAGATGCAGGGGACGAGCAACAAGCGGTACGAGCGCGAATCGAGCAGTCCCAACTGATGTCCTAGATGCTATGACAGGCACAGGCTGAGCCATGACAGGCACAGGCTGAGCCTGGGTGACGACTCGCCGGTGCTGCTTGGCAACCAGAGTGTATGTGACACTTGCTGGCTAAACCAAGAACTGGTTGCAGAGTGGGGCTTTCAGAACTTCGGTATACCCAGGGCGAGCGTTGACTTGGGCATCATGGGCTTCAAGGCCCCGCGTGGAAGCATGGCATTCGGTCCGGGGGCCTGGTTCTTCGACTCGGGAGAAGGTTTGCTCCATGCCGCCACGCAGTGCGCCGGAGGCCACACGATGTCGGAGCGACTGCCAGACGGCCGCGAAGGCCCAAGATCCAGATCTAGCCGAAGCCTCGATGTCTCCCGGGGGCGGCAGGCGGAGCTGCACGGTGAATTCGAACTGAGGCTCTGCCAGTCCCATCAAGAATGCACAGGGCGAATACATTCCACCGCGGCTGCCCTAAGGGTGTCTCACTACGTCAACACTGACTGACTTCACGTGATGCATATCACCCTAAAATCTCACAAAGTGCTTGTCTCGGCAGAGAGGCACGCAAGACCTTTGCCGAAGGGAGAGCGCTATGACCCCTCACAGGACAGCTATCGCCTCGCCTGTGGCGACTAGTGCCAAGCCTTCTTGTTCACCGACCGAGCATCAGGGCTAGAATCAACGATTGCAGCGTCTGGGGGCAACAGTTTGCGGGACGTGTCGTTCTAGGATTCTAGGCTTCGTGCCCGCATCAGAACAGAGCAGTCGCCGCAGCATCTTGACATGATGCGATGAGGAGATGTCCTATCTCCAACAGCTGCAGCAGATCCTGGGCTGCAATCACTCTGCGGGATGCTGCGGCAATACGAGCGAGAGAGAGAGAGAGAGACCTATAGCTCTCCCCGAAAGCCCCAGAACGTTGGGGGGCCCAATGGGCCGGGGAGCCTGACAAGCTCCTCTAACCCGAAGGAAGAAGAAGAGAGAGAGGGGGGTGCCGACAGAGCTGACCTAGAGGCTGTACAGCCAAGCTCGTGGGGGAAAAACCCCCAACGAGACCCTCCAAAGCCTGCCAGGACATGCAGGTGCTCGTGCGCGTGCGGGGGGAGGGGCTTGACCTGCCCCGAACCCCAAGCCTGGTAGAGAGAGAGAGAGAGAGAGAGAGAGAGAGAGAGAGAGCGAGAGAGAGTGATCATTATGGGTGGGTCATTGGCCCGGGCGTCTGAAGCTCGTGATCGCCTTGGTGACGGGGATGTCACCTTTGACTGCAGACACCCTAATTTTGAGGGGTGTTTCCCTCGTCAGCCATCTTTCTTTGTCGCCGCGGCAAATCTGCCTTAGTTGCTTTCTCCGAGACTCGTCTCCATACTGTACTGGGTGCGCCCCCGCCCCAAGCCCAGCAGACAGAGAGTGAGCGCAAGAAAAGCACTCTGTGGGTGATGGGAGATCTTGTCAGTGTGCTGTGTTCTCAGGATCAGCCAATCAAAAGAGAACGCATCGCAGCCAGCGGCTCATGAACAAGATTTCTGTCTGGCTGCAAGGGGGGCTGCTTCCCAAGAAGCAGACCAGCATGGCCTCGTGTATAAAGTTGGCCTGAAATTCAGACCGGACAAGCATCAGTGTTGCTTCGAAGCATATGAGGAAAACTCAGCCCGTCCTTAAGTTCAAGCGTGCCGTCGATCTTATCCGTAAGGCCCGTTCGGCTTTGTGCTTCGGGTTTCTGCTTCCTGGTTGTAAGTTGGCATGGGCGCAGGCACATCCGGAGACGCGTGCATCCCTGCGCACGGCTCAATCCTCTCGAGATGGGTGTGCGGCGATGTGGCGTTGCCTAACTTCCCAGGCTTGGAGACAAGGCAGTCGCACCCGCTGCCACGTCGTGGCCTTGATTTCAAATGCACAAAAAAGACACTTCACCACCGAGAATGCTTTGTGATTTGTCTCGCATGCAAAGGACGGCAGAAACAACAACAGCTTCAGGGTGCGCCCTGATTTTGTATGTGCGGTAGTTCCACCCCCACCCCCCCGCGTTGGCGATGTTGCGGTTCGAGTGCAGGAATCCTGCAGCTCTGGCACGTTTCTGCCACACGGTCAGCGCCGCCGAGATCTTGGTCTCAGGGCCCGACAAGAGATCTTGGTCTCAGGGCCCGACAAGCCTTGTCTTGTCTGCATAAACAGCGTGTCGCGAAGGTGCAGAAGACTCTGAAGCAAACTGTTGCCAGCGACATGGAGCCGAAGCTTGGGGCCCAAGCGTTTGGCACTAGCGTCGTGTGCCATGTGAACTTGCTTCAGTCGCCGGACGAGCTCCAGTGCGCACGTGCCTTGGTGCCTGCAGACGGCACAACAGGATCGGCCGCTTCCTGGCTCTGAAGGCTGGCGCCGAAGTTGCAGGCAGCCCGGCCCACCCTGAGGAAAGCTCCCAGCGCAGACAGGCACCTGAGTCACCTGAGTTCCGCTCGGCAAGACATGAATCCAATGGCTTCAGGCTGAGCGAGCCGAGCCCCCGGCCAAGCCTGGGACCGAGCCCCAGGGCGAGCCCGAGGCCGAGCCCAAGCCCGAGTCCAAGGCCAGGCGGCCTTGGCCTTTTTTGGAGAGTCTTAGATTCAGCATCTTAACCACGAACTCTTCCGCGGAACACGCGTCGGGCCTTCTTTGGGGGTTGGGATCCCAACATCCATTGTCGGGCAGCCCACGCTGGGTGCTTCACGCCTGAACTTGGCAGGTGCCAGGGCCACCCGCACAGAACCACTCGTGCACCGCATACTCTGCACATGGAGGAATACGATCGACTGCTCACAACGAGAAAGAACCGTGCGAGCGGCATTTGCAGTGCGGAACATGAGTCACCCTCTGCTTCCAACACCACGAAAGGGTCAGCCAACTCGGAAGTTGAGTGTCCCTGCCGCCTCCAAGTTGAGCATTCCTGGGGTTCTGCGGTGTTCTGCCCACGTCTAAGTTCAGGGCGCCGCAGAAACAGGAAGATTTACCAAACTGCCCATGCAGCCACTTTTCTCGCTCAGTCTTCGACATCGTTGATATTGACTGCAGGCTCAACTCTGCCCAGCTCATCCGACCGGGCCTTTTTCGCAAGCATATCTTCCAAAGTGATGCATCTTGCACTCGGGGATGCAACCCAGAAGCAAGCCATGCAGCTGAGGCGGAAGCGATGATGGAGATCGATCACCGACCCTTTACATATCACCGCCAAAGACTCGGTTTTGCCAAACGCAACTAAGATTCGCTGCTATGGAATGGGGAGACTACGAGCAGGCCGTTACTTTCACAAGTCGATCTGTTCTTTAGAAGGGGGGGGGAATCAACTCCAGCGATGGGTCCTCGAACTGGGCAAAATTTAAAACTGTTCCGAAGCCCGTATTGGATGACCTGGAAGATTTACCATCGATGGACCCTTTGCCTGTTCCCTTCATTCGTCTTGCCTACTACTGGTTTGTTGTTTGTGTCTCATTTGTTCTGTCTGTGCTTGCATTGGATATCATTCTCAACGCTTTGAGCCAGTTTGATGAGGGTCGTCGGGTCCGACCGAACTGCAACGCGACGTGAACCACCTTTAGAGTACTTCAGAAGGTCCCGGGCTGTTCCCCCCGCCACCCCCTCACCCCATGGTGCCCCCCTCCCAGAACTGTGACAGTCGTCGGGGATCGTCAGCAGTATGGAATCCAACCACTTAACACATTGTAGCATTCATTATGCATGCGGTTCTTATGTTTAGAGTAGGTCAGTGACGGGCCTGCGACCGCTAGGTCCCGCGACTCACGACCTCCCGAGGTGGCGCGGTTGTGGCGCATGTGGCGCGTGCTGCAGATGTCTTCATCTTCACCAGAATTGAAGTCTTTCCACGGTCCCGTTGATCTGTCTCAATTAGCCTAGGTGACTAGGGTTTCTAGTGGCAAACTTGGAATCGCTTTTGTGGCCAGTGTGTTTCAGATCAACCTAGTTGGTCATGTTTGCTCGTCTGTTTCCGGCTACTCGTAGCTGCCGAATTCCATTGCGCTTTCGGAAAGAAAGTTTCCATTAGCCATTCTCGTCAGTCTCAGTGTCGACGCTGGCTTATTAAGCTGGCCTGCTTCAGATTATAGACTACGATTTCGATCAGAAATGACTTGCGTCGGTCATGTTTGCTAGTTGTTTTCAAGTTAACTGTCACACTGTTAGCCTTTGCGTTTTGAGCAGGATAAAGAGCTTGAAAGAGCCGGTTGCGTCAGTTTGTTTCATCTAGAAATATGGAATTCGTTGAGACATTGCTGGAATCAGCCAGTCTTTCTCATTTTTTTCAATTTCATTAGGCTTTTGGCGGCAGGTGGCGTGTTTTCGCTAGCTTGCTTCAGGCTAGACTACGATCTCGGTGAGGAGCAGCTGAAAACCATTTTCATTGGTCTGTTTCAGAGAAGCTGTCGAATTAGACTGGGTGAGAAATAGTTCGAGTCAGCACTGTAATTTATCTCCGGTCCGCTTGGATTGGGACTGGGGATTAGGTGAGACATGGTCATTTGTTTCAGTTCAGCCTTTGGTGTTAAGATTTTGGAATCGGGTGCCCTATTGTTGGACGACGATTTCGGTGAGAATGGCTTGCTGGCATCAGTGATTCCGGCACCTCCGATTCGCTATGTCGAAAAGTTTCCTGTGCTTGCCGTGCTGATTCCTCGCAGCAGGCAGCGGCACACATTCTTACGCACACCCACAGTTCTTCCGATGGGAGCAGCACGCATGCTGCGGAGCATCCGCTCGGAGCGGCACAGGCACACATGCCGCAGTGAGGTCTGATGAAATTCGCAGCAAGCTACGGGCCAAGAACTGCGGGTGAGCGGTGATCGAAGCAGGAATTGCGTTGGAGAATGAGGCTGGGTTTAAGCCCGAAGGGCAGTCCTGTTCCAGCTCAAGCTTCCGGCAGGCCACATGTACGGGAAGCCTCCGTAAGACGATTCTCTAAGCCGTGGGCATCCAAGGTCGCAAGATTCACCTTTTCAGTTCGAAGCTGGTGGCATGCAGCGAACTTAGTGCAGACTTTATGGTGCACGAGCTGGGGTTGATTTTCTGCGAGGTCGGAAGACTCGGCTCCTTCCCGCAGAGTGTCGACCAACACGCCTTGCACTCACGGAAGGGTCTACGGCTGTGTGTCTGGTCTCCTCCAGCGCAAGGCTGAGCGAACCTCGGGCTGCTGGTAGCCCGAAGGTGAGCCCTCGTCCGGCGGTGGCGTCCAGCAGGCTCCCAGCCCCAAATTGGGGCAGCTGTGTAGTAAGACTTAGTGATCGGTCGGCCTCGTCGTCTCGCCGTTGCTGTGGCCTTGTCAGCGGTGGTGACCGGTAGTGGGAGGAGGAGGAGGAAGAGAAGCAAGCGTTGCCAAGTCGTCGTCGCTGTCGTAGTCATACTTGGCGTAGACATCTCAGGAGTGCGATTGCAGGAACAGTAGGGAGCACCCGAAGAAGCAGCAGCAGGATGGCAGTTCTCTCAAATGTTTTGATTTGTGCTGCCGTGCGTGAATAATTTTCCACCAAGAACTCGAAGACAGGATGCCAGCTCCACAGAAGAAGCTTCATCCCATCGCGTCGAGGTTGCAGGAACCAGTCTCTCAGCAGGAAGCGGCCGGCGGGTGACAATCCCAGCCCAGCATCAAGTAGGTCGGACTTGTACGCCGGGCTAACCACTCAGGTTCGAAGAGCTACTCGCTAATCAAACGGCTTCTGCCGGAATGTATCAGGCTCAGACAGCATACCTGCACGTCTCATCCATTCATCCAATTCGGTATTCTTTTTGAGCGATGAGCCACACGTTCCACAGCCTGTTCCGATAAGGTTGGCCGAGAAGCCTTCCGTGGCTACTCATGGAGCCTGGAGCGGACCTGAGATGCGCAGTGGTGTCATGGATAGCACGGGAGTCCGGTAGGCTTGACTGCAGAGGAACGGGGAGTCGCGTGCGACCACTGCAAGCTCGGCTGGTGTGCAAGGGGCTTAGGCCTCTTGCATCCTTTTTTGGCCACTCTTAACTTGAGAGGGGTGAGCTCAAAGGCCATCCAGTAATAACGGGCCAGTTCATGCCATTCCTGGACGTGTGGGGCGCAGGCCAGGCGAGTCCAGGGCGACGACGGCAGGCTCCGTCAACCTGCATCAGCTCGTTGCTCAGCTGCTGCTCAGCTGGCTTTCTCTGCCACTTTTTTTGCTTGGCCCGCTCATTTGTTCATCGCTGTTCAGGCTTGGGGATCCTTTTCCTTCAAAGGGTACCGTGTTGCCGGTGCTGCCAGACACTCGGCTAGCCGGCTAGCCTTGTTAAAACAGGCCTTTGTGTCCTGTGCTGGCTGCGTGCTGGCTTGGGGAGGACCGTTGAAACACGCGGGCCCACGTCGCTAAGCACGCGAGAGCCCTGGGTGCGTCGGCCATTCGCTTGTAGCCAAAACCCTTCTGTTGATCATGATGCAATGATGCCCGAAGGCTTGAGGAACAGACAGCTCCAAAACTCTCTGGCTTGCCCTCGCTGCTTCCTGAGCCTTAGCCGTCCTCTGTACTACTTCAAGTTTGGCTGCCGAGACCCAGGATGGCTGGAGAGCCGCGGATGCCTTCAAACAGTTCTGGCAGCCAGCGTGGTCCACAGCTGCCCGCAGTATCAATTTTTTGGTACAGCTGCAAAGAGCTCCTTCGAACTCGCAAAGCCACAAAGTCTGCGCCCATGCGCGCTGCCACCAAATCCGCTCCGGTCTCCAGATGCCGATCGTGCTGCCAGTGCTTCTGAGGATGGTAGATCCACGCGGAGCTTCGAACGGGCGCGAGTCTCACGCTTTGGCGAGGATGCAGGTCGTCTCACACATTGAGGGTGTCCCTGGTTACACTTCTCCGAAGGGAGTCGCTGAAAGTTCACTCCTCATCACTCCTCAAAATTTTTGTCTGTCTATGGAGGGCCTTGGGCGTTGCTGCTGCGTCCCCTGAAACCGACTGTTCAGGGATGCCAAGCAAGGCCGTGTGACGCCGCATGCTGTTGCACGGGGCGCCTTTTTGTTGCTTGCGAGCGGGCATGCAGAGAGGGAAGGCACATCAACAGGTTTGTGACGAAGCAGGTTTATGCACATGTCGTCGCAGATTCTGCTTTAATGCAAAGCCGACATTCCACTCCCGGACAAGATTGCCCTACCCTGCCCGTCAATTTTGGGGGCGTGTTTGTACCGTCCACTTTCTAGGAGCAAGCTTTAGATTGAGTCGAGTGAGAGAGACCTCAGGCCGAGTGATGCATCACCTCGCTCCTTGCAGTCCGTGCCTCGAAGCTCGAAGAAGTGCCTCCCAATGCCGCAAGAGCGCATCTGCGTGGGAGTCGCTTTGCATTGCAGGGCGGCTTCCTGGGCTGCAGCCGCGGTGGAAAAAAGCATGCGGGCACCTCGAGTCGTATGGGGTCGGTCTTTTGAGTGAGCTTCTTCCAGGCATCTGTGAGCAGAGCAGTCTTGCTGCAAGATGACCTGCAGCAAACACCTGGCTGCGTAGGTCGTCCTCATACCTCCGTAGCGCCGTAGCGCAGAGAGCGGAGAAGCAAGCTGCCCAGGCATGAAGGCGCACGGCAGCCGCCCCAACCCTCAGATGTACTTGCCATGCGATGCCATGTTCTCTAAAGACGACCGTTTGGGTGTATTTTGGTTTGAGGAGGAGGAGGAGGAGTGGTGATCTGACTCCCGTGTCCGCAGCGTGAAGTTTTGGTTCGAGGCGGTGAGCCAAAGCGCACTCCAGGGAGGGCCTAAACCCACCGGGCCCCCCAGGGGGCGCACGCTGAGCCTTGTATTGAAAAAGCGTGCAGAGGAGTTGCAGTCTGCTTCTCTTCGAGAAGCTCAGGTCTTCCTCCACCATGGGCCGCCGAAAACAGGAAACAGAAGAAGAAGAAAGCCATTCAGATGTCATCAGTGCTTTTTGGTGTGCCCGTAGCATGCGTGCTTGCGCGCGTGACTGCGTGTGTGGGTGCCGGACTGCCAGGTGAGTATGAATATGAGTACGAAGAGGAAACAGTGTCTGACAGCGCCGAGAGCGACCGCGCCAAGAAGGCAGCAGAGACAGAGTGAGAGAGAGAGAGAGAGACATAAAAAAAGATGCCTTGGGAGCCACGGCGACCGACCTAAGCTACCTACAATGAATCATACATCAAGACGAGGTGCGGGAGACAAAGAAGGAAGCACGCGATCGAGATCGCGATCGAGAAAAGAAGAGGCTTGGCTTCAGAAGACGTGCTCGGTCAGCCGGGTTTCCTTCAGGCCAATTGAATGGAAGGTTTTCGGTGTGACTTGTGAGTCTCCTAAATCATGTTCATGCCGATGTCCGCTCGCCGTCTCCTCGTTTTGCCATGAGTGGTAGGCTACCCAGCCCAGCCTAGCCGGTGTGCAATCAACCACTTGCCGAGAGCCGTTGCAGGTCAAGAGATCGAGACAAAGACACTGGCAGGTCAAGAGATCGAGAGAAAGACAACGGCAAAAGCCGCGGCAGAAGCCGGGAGAGAGACCGGCGAAGGCAGGACTCTCAAAGTGCTTCGCTGCCGAACATGATTTTCTGCTAAGCATTGGTCGCAGGAAGTGTCCCAGTGACAGAGTGAGTTTCGATTCGGAGCTAACAAAGCTTGCGATGCCAGAGCCAAATTGGATCTCGGTGCCCCTGCCGTGTCCAGGCGGTCTCAGACTCGTAGCCCGTCCAGAGATGAGAACCGGGTCCCATCTCCAACGTATTCCACGGAGGAACGGGGAAACTGTGAGAGTGAAAGAGTGATTCGTGCTGGAGTGGCTGTGGGAACTGGTCCACCAAAGGTATATTGGTTTGCTGCTCGTTGGCGAAGCTTGCCAGTGTTCACAGCGCTTGCATGGAACTGCCGGAGTGCCAGTAGCAAGTACTGTACAGAAGTAACTGTGAGTAACTATATAGGCCATATTAGGGATTTGTTGGGTCTTTCAGGGCCCAGTGGCCTTTTTCTGGCTGTGGTGAATAAGAAGACGCGTTCTTGAAGCAAGACGGTGGCAGAGATTGACGCCATGCCCGTCTTGTAGCGCGTTGAGACTGCTGAGGGCCGCTTTGTGGAACAGGACTTGTGGCGCAGACTCGCCCACCTCGGTACCTGGAAGGGATTAGGCGCGTGCGGCCTTGAGCTTGTAGAAGGGACTGCGAGTTCTTTGATTTAAGGCCAGTCAGCAAGATACGCAGCCAACAAACTTATGTCACGTGACGCCCTGGGTTGGTCTAGGGATATTCCATGTCCGGCTCCACTTCAACTAGGTCGAGCATGTGCTTCACCCCTCAGCCATTAGCGGAAAGTGGAAAACCACTTAAAGCCATTTGGGGACGAGAAGCATGAGCTGCCAGGCAAGAAGGAGAAGATGAGAGGCAAACTTAGCGGGGCGGAGAAGGATGATCTCAGATCCTTGGAGAAGAAGCTGGAGAAGCGGCTCAACACTGGCTACCGCGACTGGTCTTGTAAACATTGTTCTGTCAAGTCTGTCACTATAGTGACATAGTGCACAACTGGAGCGGGCAAGCTGCGCGATCAATGATCAATCGTTAAGAGTGTGGCCAAGGCACTTCCAGTATTCGCACCGTGTGGCACTAAGAAATCATAAACCTCGTCGCTTGCACACATGCTCTTAGGAAGCCGGATCCTGTTATCCCCCGTCCGAGGCATTGATGATTCTCGAAATGGGTTTCGAGGTCAAGGAGGAACAGATGGGCAGACTGCTGGCGCAGTGCATGCAGCGGCCCGGCATCGCACCGTGCTCAGGATGGAGCATGACGTGCTTGCAGTGAAGACATGGCGCCCATGCTGTACAGTCACAATTCCCAGGTGCAGATATGTATGACAATCAAACTGCTACAGATTGTGCGGCACCCAGCCGTCCGAGGCAAGCTGTTCTTGTCGGAACGGCAGGCATCAACCTTTGCTCGTCTCGAGGTCCCAACTGCTTTTATCCCGGTCGAGCATTTCCTCCGTGGTTTGGGCGTCCTCGTGCAGCGGAACTTCCCCGTGTCACTTTGCTCTCGTTCGGAGGCTGCTTGCATTGCCACAGCTATGCTGAGACCGTGTGGTAGTGCTAAGGCAGATTCTGAGAATGTGGCTCAACATGGGCTGCCCCAGAGATCAACGGTCTCTGCGCGCACTTCCGTGGCTTGGCTGGATCCACTCTTGTGGCATCGAGGCTTTGAACAAGGGCGCATTACAAGACATGGTGGTCGTGTCACTGAGCAGGTATGACTATGACGACGACGAGAAGAGGCGACCATGGCGCGTGCATGTTGGTTCTGTTCTATGTTACGCGCTACAGTTCGACATAGCACAGCCACTTGACGAGGATGGTGGCACAGGATCTCGAAGACGCTCTAGGCGTCGTCACCGATGACGAGGAAGACCGCCGCGGGGCCGATCGGCGCGTGATTCTCGTCCAGGCTCGCCGCAGCTCAAGCGGAGCTGTGCGGAAGAGTCGGTGTGGTCGAGGGTTGCGACCGAGGAGTGCAAAGCTCGACCAGAGCTGAATGGCAAGTACGATGCTTGTCTGCATTGTGACCTCGTGGCCACTCAGAGCGCCGCCAGGCCCACGTGCTCCGCAATTACATAAAAATCTCATGGCTTGTCTGGTGGGTTGTTGTGAGGAGCGGTCATCAGATCTGATGGCACACGGCCGTCCTGTTTTCGAGAAGAAGGCGGAGGTGCGTAATCGAAAAGGCAAGGGCAAAGGCACCCTCGAAGCAGCAATGTCGCAGGGTAGTGCGGATTTTGCGTGTATAGACTTTGGATATGTAATTTAAAGAAGTCGGCATGTTCCAGGCAAAGGAAAACATGATGCGAACGAGATGAAGCGATTGCTTATGCCGCACATGTTGGACGATGATGACATCACCATTGAAGTCATGGTGATCCATTACAAGAAGGACGCGACTCGATCTCGGTCCTCCGATGTTTCCCGTCGGACTCCTGCCATTTCTTCTGGGTTGTGTGCAGCACGGCTCTTGCAGGACAGGAATGGCATCAACACTGGTTGGTGGATCAGCAAAAACACTTGCACAGGCATGCTGGTTCTGCGCCTCATTGCCACAGCACGAACCGTCTTTGCGTCTTGCATAACGTAGACTTCCTCGAGGAATTTTTCGCCGTGAGCATTTGCTACAGGCCCTGGCCTTGCCTGGAACGGACGAGACACCAAAGGTCCACCCACGGGTGGTTGGTTTGTCATCCGCGACCGTCAGAAGCTGCCAGATCCAGCTGCTGAGCTTCATTGGCAGTTCGCAATTGTCTTCTTCCTATTTGGAGGGAGGTGTGCGGCTGTCGGGAATGGATCACTTACGGGTCGAAAGGGGCACGCTTCCCCGAAATCATGTCTCTTTCACTCTAAGCCCAGCTCTCCAGGTGCTGGCCCCAAAGTCCAAGACTGTGAGTTTAGCATGCAGACCCAAGGTGAACATCATTGATCCGAAGCAAGCTAACGACGAAGCTGAGCTGCAATTCCACGAAGGTTTTGTGTATTCTGAATCAGGTTCCGGGCTGCCTAGCACGAATTTGCATCCAAAGGTTTGGACTTGACAGTGGCGAGGCAGACCTGTGTGCCGTTGGTAAATTCTGAAGCAGCTAGCGCCAGTAGGGAAAGAGAGTTCCAAGAAGCGCAGCAGGATGTTGTACACGTGAAGCCCACGGCAAACAAAAGCTTTCAGATCGGGCTGGTTCTGGAGATAGGGGCGAAGGGGGGATCCGTTCTCTCCCTGCAGGTGGTGCATTAAATCGCTCCTAGCCTTGTAGCTGTTGTGCACTTTACACGAGTGCCTCCAGAGCGCTGTTGAAATGAGGCGAAACTTGGGGTGCAATGATGAACCAGTAGAGGGCACTCACGATGTTGCATTCCTTTCATGAACATGCTCGCAAAGACCAGCAAGCAAATATGAACGAAGAGGCCTTCAAGAACACGAAGCCGACGTCGGAGACGAAGTCCAAGCCGTAAGAGGAGTCCGCACGACTGGTCCGTTCAAATCAATGCCTCCATGCCACTCAAGTGGTTTCCTTCCCGTGCAGTAGCAGAAGGTATCGTAAAGCAGGTTTTGGCCAGGGAGGAGCAAACGCAATCATCGTCACAAGCTGATCTGCTGGCTGTGGGCCTGCACTAAGAAGCGAGAAGCCCCCCCCAACCCCCCCCATCCGGCCGACCGAGAGAAAGGTTGACTTTGAGGTGCGTGACCTCGAATGGAGGTTTGGGGGTAGAGTGGGTTCAAGGTCTTATGTCACACACAGAACACATGTTCCGGATTTTTTGCTTGCTTCTGCCAAGGAGAATTATCTCAAAAAGAAGAAGAACGAGGTGCAAATCGTTGGTGCAGCATGTGGCACGCCATGTTGTGGTCACAGAAGGCCGCCCGAGCGTTGGAGCAGTTAGATGGCAACAAGCTGAAGGGGCGACTTCAAGTGAAAGATAAGCACCTCAGTTTCAGCTGACTGGCGTGGCTGTGTGTTGCCAACTCTTTGAAGCATTTCTGCACGTGCCGGTTCTTGCGAACATCAACGGTAAGGAATGTCATGGCATCAGAGTATTTTGGCCACTTTTGCATGCTGATGCATCTGGAGCACATGGAAGAGCTTCGGCAAATCAGGCCGACTTTTGAGCGCGTCTTTCAACTCGAGAGCGTAGGGCATGGTTTCCGTGTGAGCGTGCGGGGTAGCAGGCGGCGCACCGAAACCATGGCAGATGGGGAGTTACAGCGATTGGGCTGGTGCTTGGACGGTCTTCCTTGCAGCTTGGCCTTCGTAGCAAGGGCTTGCGAGGCATGCAATAACGCAACTCGTTGACCGAGTCCGGCATGCGTTCATGCTGCATCCATGCGCGATATCGCACGCCGGCACGAGATGACATTCCCCAAGAGTGTAGGCATTGGGATCTTCGGGAGACGCGATCCGAAGAAGACCACTATCATCGGCCCCTTTGCTTTTACAACTGCCCGGCCCATGCTGCCCGGGCTATAGAGCATTATGAAATGTGTTGAGCAACTTGTTTTTGGCAGGGTCCTGAACCAGGCTGGGAAGATCCGGGCAGCGAGATGGGTACACTTCAGCTTCCACCGAACACGCAGCCACCTGCCATCTTTAATATGGCTTGCAGACCACACAAGGTGTCTCTCTGACTTGCTCGTCAAAAGCTCGAGGTTCGATCGCTTGAAGTTCAAGAGAGGTGATTCCGTGATCATCAGTTCCTTGGCAGCCTGTGCTAAGGGCAGCCGCGGCGACAGTTGGTGTCTGATCTGAGGCGAATCCAGACAGCAGGTCCGAGTGAAGGGCGAGGCCTTGGAGAAGCTTGGCGAGGGTTTTATCGCCGACATTCAGCTGCTCAGCCTACAATTGCGACTACGAGACTCTGTGAGCATTGTGGCATGCAGCCCAAACAAGGTTGCCTCGTGGCCGCGACGGCGAGAGCAAGATGATCGTTCGTCTTCGTGGATGTTGGCCAGATGATGCCATGCCGGGAGCTCTGCTAAAAAGCCGTAGCAGTGGTGGTGAGAATGCAGTCAGTTGTTTTACTGAGGGCTCGCCGATGGCGAATCGACAAGGGGGCTAACAGCACGCTGTACGAGCGGCAGCTCCAGGCAATGCTCAATCTGGTGAACAAGGAGTGCGGATCAGCTGAGAGAGTGGCCGAAACACTCTTCTAACGCTTTCTGTGTCTCTAGATCAATGTTGCAGAAGCTGACACGACCGTAGAGCTCGGCAGGACCGATCACGCGTGCGCGAGCCCTAGCGCGATGGCAGAGCACAGCGGTTCTTGCAGATCAAGCTGTGGTTTGCACGTAGAGTCTGCGAATGTTGAGGCCAGAGCTCCTGATATCTGCGAAGGTGGGCTTGGCAGACAGCTGGGCCAAACAGTGGAGGAAAGGTCAGGGAGTGACAGAAGAAGACAAGGAGCTCGCCGCAAAGGCTCGAGGGCTCTCCTAAGCGCCGTGCTCGCCTGCCCGGTGTGCCTTTCAGGCAGCAGAGCAAGCAGAAAAAGACGTCCTTCGAGAAAAGGAGGCTCACAGGGCAATTCCCTTCCGTTCTATCAAGTGTAGCCGGCATGCAGCTTTTCAGAAAGCACGTCCGCTTCAGGCAGCAAAGCTTGCTAGGCTGAATCCTGGCGGATGCGAGTCCGACAAGCTGGCAGCTTGTCTGGCAGAGTCTTGCGTGGCTGCGGGAGGGTCTCTTCTGCTTTGCAACCCCGAGGACAAGGCGCTGAAGGAAGTGCGGACCCTTTCTCATCTCAACCAGTCGCAGCGGGACGCAGTGTGGCTCTGATCATGTCTTCAGTACATCTCTGGCACCTGCTTTCAAGTCGGATCAGGGACATGTCACCTGCTTGCCATGGCGATCTCTAGGCGCTCGGCATTGCGGACCACTTGCACAGTGATTCAAGGCCCCCCTGGCACGGGCAAGACGCACGCAGCGAGGTTGCACTCAGTTTGGACATACAGGTGACTTACAAATAGCGTCTTCATCACGAGCTGACTTGCACTAAGGTGTCTGTCCAAATCATGAAGATGTGGTCAAAGACCCTGGACCTGTCACCTCTGCTGGCGACTTCTGACAGCTACTTGGCACTGCCTTGGTACAGAGAGAGCGTTTCGGTGATGTCGGTGCATGTCCGTGTGAACGATGACGGCCCAATCTGGCCCAATGACGGGTCCAGGCAACCCAGCGGTGGACAACATCGCCATCGGACTGCGGAAAGAAGGCGTCCGGGCAGTACGAGTAGGCCGCCCAGACAAAATCAACCGCATCCTAGAGGAGATCACGCACCTCGGCCGAAGTGAGTAATTTCAGCACAATCTGACCCAAGTTGGCATGGAAATCACAGGTTGGAGTGCTTGCTAGACAAAGAGAAGGAGGAGATGAAGAACAGGCTCGCGGGACTCTGCCATCACTTATGTTTTTTTTCTCTACTCTCTTCTTCGCTTCCTCCGCAAACGCCGAGGCAATACGAAGCGCGCTTCAAATCCCGGTCGCGCTCCAAGACCGGGAGCCCGCAGCGGAAGGCCGTCTCGAGGTCCAGGCCAGGTCCGGGCGGCGAACTTCGCCGTTTGGCAAATGAGCATCTTCATGAAAAGCATGTGTGGTTGAGTGCATGTTCATGCAGGTCCAGGTCGGGTCCGCGGAAGGGCAAAGGCAAAGGAAAAGGGAAAGGCAACGTCAAGAACGATTTCGAGCTTCAGATGAGAATTCTGCAGGCCGGCGAACTCCTGCGGATTTTTTGTGACTCTGTATAGGTGGCTAGCGGCTAGCGATGGCTAGCGGCTAGCTTGTGGGCTGGGCGCACAGAGATGCTACGTGCAGGATGCAGATGTCATCTGCACGACCACGATCTCTTCTGGCCAGGGTCTCAGTGTCTGGCAAACGTCGAACTCAGCCTTTTCGGCTCGTCGGCTCCTCTGCTTCGCTCCGCTGCGCTCCATTTGCAGGTGGTGACTTCTTCTCGAAGTTCGCTTTTGCTGGAGTCCTCATCGATGAGGCGGCGCAGGCTACAGAGCTGGCCGCCATCGTGCCCCTCATCCTGCGAGGTGTCGGCAACTGCGCTTAGTCACAAGCCTCGGGGGCGAGCAGAGAGACCTGAGCGCAGGCTCGCAGCGATTGGTCTTGGTGGGGGACCAGTGCCAGCTACCTCCGACTGTGCAATCTAGCGAGGCACAGGGCTGTTTGGTGTCATGACGTGCTCATGTAGTCCGCATGATAGCAGGCAGAAGAGAGAGGTCTCTCACTGTCGCTGTACTCGCGCCCCTTTGTATGCAGTGTACGGGTGCAAATGGATGAGGCTGGGCTTGGGGCTTGAGAATGCTTGAGCTTCCACGGCGAGGAATGGTGGACTCTGGAGGGCTGATGCCTTTCCTGTTGGACACACAGTTCAGAAGTCACCCGGTCATCGCCGAGGACGGGAAGAAAGGAAAGTCTGTGCTCTCTCTCTCCCTGTGCTCCAGTTTATGTTGTGGTCTGCCTTGGAACGCCTTGTCAGTTCTCTGCTCGAACCTTCTATGCCGGAAAGCCGCTTGGAAGCCGGGACTGGGAGAGAGGACAGGCACCCTGCAAGAGTGGGGATGGTCTGATGGCCTGAGGTTGAAGTCCGGCATTCGCCCCGAAGACAGAAGACAGATCCGTGGCTGCTCGGGCTGAAAAAACAGGGAGCCTTTGAGACAAAGACCTGGCATCTGAGAGCTCTCAGGTCTCCCCTGGCCAAACCACATGTCGCCCATCGGCTTCATCGAGTCCAATGGTGCCGAGGAGGAGGAGGGCGAGTCCAAGTTCAATCCCACGGAAGCGGAAATGGTGCAGAGACTGGTTCAGGTGCGACGAATGCTGCAAATAGTCCTTGAAGAAATTGAAGACTAGCACCATCAAGCACACATGCAGATTGGGCAGGATGCCTTCTTCCAGCGCGAACTGGAAATCACCGAGATCGGGGTTGTGACCCCCTATGTTGCACAAGTGCGTCTTCTCAAGCGGACCTCAGCTTAGTCGACTGACCTCGAGAGCCTGAGATGACCGTCTCTTGCAATCGGAAATTTGCTCTCGAAGAACGGGGTTTGACCAAGCACCACTCTTCTCATTCTGCACTGCAGTGTCGTGGCACTTCCGGGAGATTCGGGCGGTGTGCGACCGTCATCGCTGTAGAGAAGACGACAGAAGAATCGCGACAGCAAGATTCGACCCACCTCGCGACCGGTGCGGGTGTACCCACCTGCAGAGCTTGCTACCAAAGCAACCAGCCAAGCGAACACTTCCGCTCGGACACTGTGCTCTCACCCTTGTCGTCTGAATTCAGTCTTGAATCTTTTTGTTTGCAGGGTTTCATGCCAGTCGAAGGCAGAAAAGTCGTCGTCGCGTGTAAGAGGCAGCTAGGAACCACGGAGCCTGCAGCCTGCGATGCTCCGCTTGACGTTTCGGGTGCCCCCCCTTCGGGCTCGCACGCTGGAGAGCCAAGCATTTGCTCTTTCATCTGTCCCCAAGTCGTGAGGATGTGCAAGCAAGTGATTCCTGAAGGGATGGACCCAGACCTCTTGGAGAGCCTTGGCGATGTGCACTGTGCGCGGTTTAATATTTTCAGGACTCCGGTGTTGCCCGGGCCGAATGGCAACATCCTGCTACCTGAGGATAGCTTCTGTGGATCAGTTCCAGGGTCGAGAGAAGGACTTGATAATCTTCTCCGCCGTGCGCTGCAACAGGCCCAGGGTGGACATGTTTGCAGCAGATGATTGTGTCAGTAGAGACGGGTTTCAACCGGGGCGTCTGCCTCGGGCCCCAAGCATCCTCCATGTGAGTGCTTCCTGCCTCGACAAGGGTACCTACCCTGTGCAGGATTGGAAACGTCGGTTTCCTAGCCGACTGGCGGCGGCTAAATGTGATGCTCACGCGAGCACGCCGAGGAATGTGCCCTTGCTGCCGATGGTCGGGTGTCCATATTCTTTCGGCATGGCTGCCCGGTCTGAGGGTGGTCGTCGGAAACTCACATACGCTGAAAGCAGACGAGCACTGGGAGAAGTGGCTCCAGTTCTACGAGAAGGTTGCTTCAGGCCTCGGCCTGGGATCTGGCAGTGACGCTGTCAGACTTTAGCCTTTCAGGTCGTGCACGTTCTCCGAGCCCGTCAAGGAAGAAGCAGGAGGCGCCTCCGAACGAGACGGAGGAGGAGAAGGAAGCGCGACTCAAGAAAGAACGCCCTGCGGCTGCACCCTTCCCCCACAAGGAAGGACAGAAATGCGGCCATCTTTAAGTGCGCCCAAGTCTCAAGTCAAGGAATTGAAGCCGCCCGAAAGTTGTCAATGGCCATCCGGTTCCCGGGTCTGGCCATGGCGCAGCAGAAAAAGAAGGCTTGGCGCAACAGCCTTGGAGAAGCTTTACATCTCCGAAACGTCCCCTAGGAGGAGCAGCGAGATCGCTCCAGATCGTGGTCTCCAGAGGGTCCCGTCGTTGTTGGTCAAGCGGACAGCAAGTTCAAGGTGCGGCTTCTCGCTTCGGGCCGGAGGCCTCCAGATTCTCATGCTCTTTCCCGAGGCCATGGGCGGCAGGACGAAAGCGCGGGTCAAGACGCCCTCGCCCGACCGGCCCATGAAAGTTCAGAAGGAGACCGGTCCGTCGGGGCACAGCTTGGCAGTAGGCTGCAGATCTGCAAGTGACCTGCGAGGCTATTGGCATAGGGCGCCGCAACAAGGCCGCTTTCTCGCTGTGATCAAGATGGGTCGTGAACGTTCGTGAGCTTGGCGCTTGCTGTTCTTATCCTGTGGTCGCTCGTATGGAAGTTGAAGGGTACCTTAGACTGATACCGTCAGACGCCTTGGCAGACGTTCCACTCCCCTCATCGAAAAAGGATGCCTCCACACAGGGGCCTGCGGAAAGAAAGGCAAGCACGCGAGGTCAGGTCGACAACCATCATGCCACTTCATGCCTCTGCGAGCGAAGAAAAAAGTAGAAGGCCATGTCGGGGGCTCGCTTTTATTTAGAAAGGCGCCAGCGCTTATTTTGGGGGGGTACCGTTCCAACCCGAATCCGAGGCATGCCTGTTGCAAGGGGGAGTCGAAACTCGAGTCCACACAACAGAACATGCAAAGAAGGCAGTGGAAAATCATACAGATGCTATGACGACTGGGACTGATGGTGTTTGCTGCAAGTAACAGCCTTGGTCAGGGCGACGAATTTACCAAGCCCGCGCCAAATGGAGCTGGCAAAGCGAAGGCCAAGGCCGGAACGCAGAGGGCACTTTGCGAGACTGCGACTGTGGAGCTGGCTGAAGCGACTAGACGGTATGCTGCTGCAGGCCAAGGCCAAGGTGGCCATTGCATCGGATTCGGAAGGCTCCGCGCATTCCTAAGCTGAGATGCCACACGCGACCAACACATCCGGCCGTCTCTTGGAGAAGGCTTACAGTAAATCTCGTTGCTGACATCTGTTGCGACAGTGAGCATACATTGGTCAGTGTCGCAGAACGTGCCACCATTATGTGATGATCGCAGATTGATAACGTGATTACTGCGCGATTAGAGCAGCCGGCGGAGGTCAATACTAACGCTACGGGTGTAGAGTCCATCTAGTTCCGTCATCTTTCTGGAATTGCTCTCCGAGGATGCTCTGGTCACGCCAAGCCTCAGGGCACTTGCACACTAGTGCTCACTCCGTTCAGACGAGGGGCGGCGAGATGCAGCGTAGGGCAGCCATGCGACACCAATGCCGCTAAGCAACAGCCTCTGTGGCCGATATACCTGCCGGGCAAAGTCGTAGCGGCTGCAATGCGCTCTCCCTGATGAGCTTGCCTTTGCCAGCAGTCAGAACAAAAGCAAGTTCTTCTCGATACACAAATGAGCTCGCTCATGATGGACGAAACGATTGGAAGTGGGATGCAGCATGTGGGCAGCTCTTGCAAGGTCCGCCGCCAGCGCCATCCGCTCTGAGCAAAGCTCCTCGCAGGCTGTGTGATGTGATGTGGGGTGTGACACTGGCTGTCCGTTATGAGCAAAAGGGGCAGACGGCTGACACACACCTTTTGGCAATGAGTGGCTTTGTTGCTAAGCCTTCGGCCTTAGGAGAGAAGTTATGAGGCAAGATAGTGGGTGGAAGGCTCTCTGAAATCTTACCATTGTCGAGGCTTCCCGGGCACAGACCCCACAGCTCGACCAAGCACCTCCACGGAGGCAGGATCCCAGTCGCGTCGTAGCCTGAACACGTGCGGTCCCATTCGGAGGCGTCCTGGTCCTTCGGGTACCGCAGGAGCATCTCGTAGCCGTGTCTCGGACGAAAATCTCAAATTGCTCAGTTCTGCCTGCTCCAGCTATTTCATTGAGCCTTTTCCAGCCTAAGGTCCTCAATCACAGGGTTCAGCTAAGCCTGAGCAATCACAAGAGCATCGGCCTTACTCGGAGAGGCTGTCGAGGGGTGAGGACTTGCTTCGCAATGAGTCCACAAGAATCTACACGAGCCCCGTCACAGTGTGCGATGATGCGAAATTCCAGAAGGTTTGTTTTGGGCAGCTTCGGCTACAAAGCAGAGTCCCGGAGCCAGTCGAAGCTTTCCAAGGGCTCCCGGAGCGCGGGCCCGAGCGGAAGCCGCCTCTCCACATCTCCGAAGTGCATGTCGCTTGCTACGCTCGCAGACTTCTTGTGACGTTTGCTTCGGATTTCATTTTGTCCTGCCGGAGCTCTTCTGGTTCGCGTGTTAGCAATGCTCTCTCGGGTGGGGGTCCAGCTGCTTGGGCCGAATCGCCTCGCGAGGCCCTCGGGGGTCCCTCAGGTTCGGTCGCTCTTTTCGCGCTCTCCTTCTTGCAGGTGGCGGAACAGGATGCGCTTCGGCAAGAAGTCTCGTGACGAAGACCTCGAGGTGGTGCCCGTAATCGGCAAAGAATCGGAGCAGGAGGAGCCGAGCCGCCCAACGAGCGCAGAGCATCTCGCTTGTGGTTTCTGCCTTTCAGGATCTCCTCGAGAGAGGCGTGCCGGCCGAGACATGGCAAGACGTGAAGCCGAAGAGCACGGTCCTAGGAGCGCGCCGGGCGGAGTTCTTTTCGCTGGTTTGCAGTGGCTTCCTTTGCTGCCCGACTTTTCAGGAGCTGCGCTGATGCTGGCTTCGATGTTCTTCCGTGACTCTGCGATGGGCCGACGAGCGATTAGCTTGACTGTGGCAGTGCTTCCTGGTAGTTACCTGGAAGTCTTTTTTTTGGTGGACCAGCTTATACTTAAAAGTAGGCGAGGACCATCTCAAGCTAGAGATGCCAAGCTGGCAGGTTGGTCTTGCTGCTGCTCGAAATTGGTGCGATCGTGTACTACAGCAGCGTACAAAAAGAATACATGACTGCGCTCCAGGAGAAGAATATTGATGCATTCTACCATGGACTATGGATGGTGGGGGCGGTGATCATATTCATCAGTCCAATCATCGCACTTCATGAGTACACATCTGGAAGCGTGGCACGAACTGGCCTTTGCTTGTTGCGGTTGGAGTGATATTAGGTGAGTCTTGCGCCCAACAATACAGAAAACGCAAGACTCAGGCATGCTGAAGATGACATGGCGTGCCTCTTTGACCAGGCGTTTCGCTGGATTGTATCTGGCAGCTCCAGGTTACTGTGAAGGCAATCCGTTCTACCGGCTGACACTAACCGGAGAAATCGACAACCCTGATCAGCGCATCTGCCAGGCAAGGTTGCGCATGTGTCTGGTGTAGCTCGGCTCTTTGACAGCTGCAGCTACAAAAAGCCACCTGGCAACCTCAGGACGTGCACGAGTTTGTTGGCATTGCTGTCCATTTGGCGCAAGACATAGTCAGGACCGGCTGTGACTGTTGCATGTCTCAGCCAACACGGACAGAAATGTGCCATGCATTTGTTGATGTTACCCTGCAGCAGGACGGTCCTGAACATAGCGAGTTTTGCGGCCATCCTGTACTCCATTTCCCCTGCAGCCTGCTATGGGGTCCTGGTATACTCTATAGTGGGCACCATCGTTGCAACGAAGGGCTTTGGACCCTGGTTGGGATTCTACCAGCTCCAGCGGGTCAAGCAGGAAGCCGGCCTTCGTGGGGGGCTGAGACTGTCTTTGGGTGTCTTCTGAAGCCAAGCAGCCAGAGCATTAGCTGTCGCGAGCGTCGCTGCATCTTGTGAAGGCTATGACTTGATTCGCGTGCGGGAGAATGCCGAGTCTGTGGCTTTCTTTGAGGGCGGCGAGGCGGAGTGGTCCAAGTTTAACACCTTATTCTCTGGACTGCTGCAAACAGTGTACAAGAGCGTATTGGTCACTTCTGGCTTCGGCATGTTCAACCGCTCGTTCCATTGGGCTACCTTTGCTGTGGCGCCTCTCCTTGTTGGCCCTGCCTATCTGCGTGGTGAGGTTCAGTTTGGAGTCATCTCCCAGGCCAGTATGGCCTTCAATATCATTTTAGGAGCAATGACGCTTATCATGGACAAGCTGGAGTCTTTGACGGATGTTGGGGTCCGCGTGCGCCGGCTGGAAGATCTCGAGCTTTCCCTGAGGAAGTGCCGAAATGAGATGCAGATGTCTAGCGCCGCAGGGCTTGCTGGCGTGCAGTGCATCGCAAGTGCCGAGCCTGGCCCCAGCGACACAGCCATGCTCCGCTTCTGCAAAGTGACTCTCCGCACCCCACCTCGCGCGGGCATCCTGCAGCAAACCCTTTGCCACGATTTGTCTTTCGAGTTGGTGAGCAACCAATCCCTGCTCATTGTCGGTGAGAGTGGCATCGGCAAGAGCTCTTTGCTCCGTGCCGCAGCTGGCCTGTGGACAGATGGTCGAGGGACACTTCAGCTCTGCAAGCGACAGCATGTCTTCTTCATGCCGCAGAAGCCGTACATGTTCCTGGGGTCACTGAGGGACCAGTTGTTATACCCTCACGTGGAGGAAAGCTTCGTCAGCAACTCTGACTTGGAGAAAGCTCTTCGGCAGGTCAACCTCGGCCACTTGCTCGAGCAGCACAGCTTGTCAGAGTCGAAAGAGTGGGCCAGCTTGTTGTCACTAGGACAGCAGCAGCGCATAAACTTTGCTCGAGTGTTGTTGCGCTCAGATGTCAGAATGGCTTTGATAGATGAGGGCACCTCTGCCTGCGATCCGGCCAACGAAGCTGTATTGTATGAGTTGCTTCAGCAGCGACTCTGCAGCTATGTCTCCATTGGTCACAGACCGGCACTGCAACGGTTCCATAGCCACGCGCTTTGGCTTCACAAACCGTCGCTGGAAAGCGCCGCGTCTGCATGTTCTCCTAGTGCTTCCGATCCTACGGAAATCGAGTTTATGCCAATGGCAGAGTTCCAGGCTAAGAATCCGGCGCTTGCGTATAGGGAGTAGGTAACGAGGCTGACAAAGGAGCCCTCTCGGAAGGATTCGTACAGTGCGCTGGAGGGCAACAGCTTCGCGTGAGTTTTGCCTTGTGCTCTTTCTGCGTTCGCCAAGTTTCGAGCCGCCACATGTGTTAAGTCTGTTAAGTGTGGCGGTCTGTTTTCACCTAGCTGAGTCCAGAGCTGCGGGCATGCAGAAGCCACTAGTTACCAGGACCCCACATTTCAATGTAGGTTTCGTGTCCACAGTGTGCATGCCTTGGCTTGGACGACCCGTTGACAACCTACTAATTTTGCCCGCTCAGCGGTCAATCGTGCAATGGACCCATCAGAGCTCACTAGGGAGTCTAGGTTCCTAGGATGCAGACATGTCACCTTTCGGCGCGCAGGGAAGACTGCGCTTGCCCTTCAATGCAAGGTTCATAAAAAAAGTGTCGGCAGCCGATCAAGCCTTCTTTAGACGCTTTTGCGGAGCTTGGCCCTTGCTTCTATGCGACGGAGCTTCAGTGCATGTAGCGCTGACAGGGTCCGTGCCCAGTGATGCCTCGTCACCAGAACGAACGTGACCGGCCTAGCCGCTGCAAGCCCTAGAATCGGCAATTGCGCTATGAGGCTTTTAGCCGCCGTGCTGTCTTTTGTGTTGCCGGTTTACCAAGGGCATCTGAGGCGGTGTGTGCCTTATCAGCGTGCAGTCTATTCTGTCCGACGAGCTCCCTGCTTGTCCTTCGATGTCATGTGCTGCCGCAGCAACAAGGGAGTCAGACCTGTCGAGGGCTGTGACACAAATAGCTGAACGCAACGTGAAAACCAGTGGCTGTCTCGAAGGCAACAGCATGCAAGCATGCGACAAACGGCTCTCACATCCCTGGCCATTCAGGCAGGCCAGTACTCCTTAATCTCATGCACATTCCCACGACTGCAGCCCACACCAATAAGCCGCACCGCAAAGCCTAAACCGTCCCGCTGCGAAGTGCCATGTGGGCACGCCGGATTGGCGCGCCGGCACGATGTCCATCGCAAACCCGGGCCCTTTGGCAGAATCAGATGCGACGCTGACGCATGTGACAAGATTCGGACAACTAGCTGAATCTGATGGCCCCTGATGGTTGATAACAAGAGCTGACACACAGCATCTGGCAAAGCAGTCTTGACTGGTTTAGTGAGGTCATCATTCAGAGCATGATGAACGGAGCCTTGGCAGTGGGTGTGGGTTAGGACTATAAGGGCTAGAGAGGATGATTGTTCATCATTTTCTGTCCCATTGTCTCCATCTCCGTATGTGTTGTTTGACAAGGTGGAACATGATTCTGTCTTTCAGGAGCGATCGGACTGGTTGTCTACCAGTATATGGTTCTTTGGCAGCAAATCTGTCGGGCTAAGTGTATCTGCAGTCCGCAGCGGCTCAGGACAGCTTGTCAGCAGGCAATTTGGATTACGCTTTGGAGAGCACCTCGGCAGCGGCGCACTTGAGCCTTCAGAGTGGGAAACTTTAACGCTCAGGTGTTGGTAAGTCAAACCTCACCTGCCTCACTGGCTGGCTCCGCCGGAACGAGCTCACCTCTTGGAGACTAGGCAGCGACTCAGGCGTCCCTGCCTAGAGATGCAACCCGGCGCGCAGCGAGTTCGTCCCCAGGACACAGTACGATACGTGGAGCCGATGGTGGGAGCAACCTGGCCTGGGGAGCCGGGGTTGAGAGGCAATTGCTTAAGAGAAATTTCGACCATGCAGTTGATGCGCCACAGAAGCAGCAGCAGGTATCAAACAGGTGTGGATGAGTACGTGCTCAACAACACATGCGTTCCATTTCCAGTCGATGCCTACGACCAAAGTTGCAGGGACATGCGCTCCTTGCCCGCAACTTGACCTGCAGGCGTTTTTGCTTGTTGCATACTCTTGTGCTGAGGCGTCCCGGTGCATGAGTTCGAAAACCGTCTCGGGTATCCGCTCGGTCTGGGTGAGAAGGTGAGCGTCAACAACGAGCTTTTGCATCTATGCGGCAATTGGCGGGCCAGCGCTAAGTGCTCCCGCATGCAACTGCTTGTGCAGAAACCTCTTGCCTGTGTCCTGCCAAGGTATGCGTTTGCCTATACATTTTTAGTACTGGGGCGACTCTGCAGCAGGTGGAAGTTTGGTTCGGTCGCCCCTTGCTGGTGTGGGGTCATCGGTTTGGTCAATAAAAAAATGGTCTCGACATGTCTTGACGAACTAGCCAATGCAGCTGTAAACTTGTTTCGAGGATCCTAAACTTGATTGGCTTTGCCATCCACGACCTCGCGCTCCTTTCTAGGCCTCATGAGAGGTTTCGCTACAGATACTACAGCCTGTCATGCAAGCATCTCTTGCCTTACCCAGCACCGCAGATCTCAGCAGAACTATGTCCTCGATTGGCCAGCTTTCAATGAAGGCCTCTCGGATGGCGAGTGGAGTGAACGAGTTCGAGATCCCACTAACCAGGTTGTATGCTTTTCAAGCTAAGGCTTTCCCATCTTTCGACGGTTCACGAAGCTTTCAGGCCCTGTGTCGCACTGGTAAACGGGTGCTTTTTGGACGAGTGGCCGCCTGTGCATGCCTGGACCGTCCGTGAGCTGATGCAGGTATTACGATACTTCGAGCTTTGTTCTCGATCGAGGGCACTGGCAGCAAATTGGCACTTCTGATTGGGATCATCCTGCCTCCCGGCCTCAAAGCTGTGAGCTTCAGCAGCGGCAAGACGGTTTCGGAGGCTGGACTTTTAACTCAGGACCCCAATCATTACCGCCTGGGCACTGCTGTTCCTTGTATTCATCGTGACACCGGTGCTGCTGCTCTTGTACGTCCGCTATCCTGTGCCTTGATCGGGCTTGACTGCTCTCTTCCGCTGCAGCCTTGCCGGCTTGTGTCGGGGCGGCGTGATCAAGTCGCAAGGTTCTGGTGCAGGATTGTTCGAACTTATGCTGAAGTCCTGATGCCTTTGCATGCACTGGTGGGCATTCCGTGATGCTGAGGTCCGCCTGAGCCGCTTTGCAGTATTTCTAACACTGATTGTGGGCACCCAAGGTTTGCACCGAGCATTCGTGGGCTGTGTGGGCACTTGATGTGGGCAAGTCCATGTGCACCCAGGCTACGGCCGTTTTCGGACTAACGATGGCGATCATCCCGCTTCTTGGATGCCGGAATGCCGGGCCCTCTCAGAAGTCAGTGCCGGATATGACCTGACGGGATGAGGCTCGTGTACTTAGTCAATCTGAACGAGCGGCCACGATATGCACTGGAAGCTTGTCTGCAGACAGTGAAGATCGGAAGATGGTTGCAGCGGATCTTGCCAAGTGTTGCAGTCCGGCTTCCACTGGGGCCAAGCATGAGGTCTTCGAGGTGCAAGACTACCATCCTGGAACCTGCAGTTTGTCGCAGATCTCTTGCATGACCTGCATGTCCGCGTTTGTTCGATGATGTGTCATAGCTCTTTTACTGCTCGGACAGGGTCGGTCGTTCATCGCCGTTGTCAGTGCAATCCCAGGCTACTGCGGCTGCTCCTACTTCATCAATGCAGCCAGCCTGGTTCGAATCTTCGCGATCGGCGCTGGGGTAGCTTGTCTACATGGTGACTTCAGAAGTAAGGTTGCAACCGAATTGACAACACTCTGAGGTGGTCTTCACCTCGTGCCTCTCTGCATTCCGCTGCCTCAAGGGCCTCCGACGAGCACAGTGGGCGAACCTAATGCCCCCTGCTTCAGACACGAGGGTTTTGCTTGCGCAATAAATGCAAAAGATCATGAACGTGAGATGTTCAGTTGTGCAAACACAGTGCTTGCTTTTGGGGCTCTGTTTCAGGTCGGTTCTGCAACCCGGATGCAGTCAAGTGCTTCAGCATGACAGCTACAGTAATCTAGCATCATTTTAGCTATGCCATTGCCAATTTCAGGTTTCCCATTCCTGTCACCGTCTACTCCGTCTTCTGGAAGACCCCCAATGACGAGCCAATTCGGCACAGAAAGGAGTCGTTGCGACACAGTGGCCGCTTTGCTTATAGAATCACCATCACAGTGGTGGAAGGAGGGCGAGCCGGTGCAATCGGAACTAGCCTTCGATCCCTTCGCCCTGATGGATGAGCAACCGGAAAGCAGACTCTGGGCAGAAATTCGACTGAGCTTTTTTGGTAACACGGAGACGGTGCAACCTCCGCCATGGCATTGGCTGTGTGAGAAGTCGAGCAAAAAGTCGTTTGCGTATGCTTCCTAATTCCTAAATGAATGCAACCAAGGTCCAAATTGCGCCTACAGGTATTCGGTAGTCTGAGTCTAAGTCAAGTATGCTACATAGGTCAGCATCACGGCACAGAACATCAGCTGCCTGTGTCTCGCTAGACCCAGTGGATCTACCGATCCAGTCGAGTCCCGGAGCTTATCGTGTTGGCGAGAGCCAGCAAGAGAGAGAGAGAGAGAGAGAGAGAGAGAGAGAGAGGGCAACGACCCACCCCCAAACTCCACTTTCACCCGACAGCCTGGGGGACTGTGTAACACGCAGCTAGGGGTATGCTTGTTGACTTTGTCTCGTGCAGTGAAGGCTCACTTGTCGAAGGCCCGTAAGTCCCACAGTCTTTAACAGAGGGGGACAACCCCATGAGCCGAGGGGGTCGAAGCAGGTCTGTGATGTAGTCCAGTGCCTAGTTTCCGAAGGGGGTGTGTGCCAGGCTGTGAAAGGCTTCGACCCCACAGAGGGGGACAACATGTCCACCAACCGAGGGAGTGCATGAAGGCTCCTCAGCATGTTCTAAGCCCCCTATAATGGAGCCATAGGGGCGCGGCGATGAGGCCGGGATGCGCGTTGGGGTTGTAGGCGTTCTAAGTAAGGGGGCTTAAAACATGGGGGACGTTGCACACTCTGTTTTCAGTTCAACTGTCAACGGTCTGAGGGACCCCAGAAGCCCACCACTCAATAAAACAATTGGTGGTGGGGCGGGCCAAAGGCCTGAGGGTCGGCATTGCTGACCCCTAAGCCCTGCAGAAAGAAAGAAAGAGAGAGAGAGAGAGAGGGCATCCGCGCGGTGCACCGCGGCATGCCCGCATCAGTATGCAGGGAGAGAGAAAGAGAGAGAGAGAGAGAGTCAGGATACATGACGGCAGCTTGGATGCAATGGTGCAGACTAACTTTGAGTCTTGCTGTGTCAAGTGCCACTGGCTTGCAAAACATGTGAATGCCAAGGTGACCCTGAAGCCTGAGTTCGCGTATGCGCCCCGCCGAAATGTACATAGTAGTTGTGTGTTGAACAGGAGTATTGTTGTACGGGTACCCGCCACAGCTTGCTTCAGGACGTAGATGAACATGGGCGATGGAAGCCCATGGGTGACCGCATGATAGATGGGCCGAAGCTGTGTGTGCCCGAGTTGTGGTTGGGCTTGGCACTGGTTTGTCTGGACATGTCGAGCAGAAGCGGCATGCTCGTCAGGCCGGAGTTGAAGAAGGGCGAGCTTTTCAAGTGCCTGGGCAGCAAGCAAATGTCAGCAAGTGCCCCTACCGTCTCGAGACTGACACGAGTTAACAGAATCGAGCCATTTGGCCGATTCGGCACAATTTGGAGCATGAAGTCGAGAGTGAGCGCTGCCGAGCAACAGGATCTACAGACCTTGAAAGTAGGGCGAGGTGATCAGATCATGTCGCTTTGCGCTCATGTGCGCCACCAGAAAGACAGACAGACACCTCCGGAGCAGCTCGTGCGGGGCCATAGGCCCTGTGAACAAATGTTGCTGCTGAGCCTGGGTTAGCATCGGGAGCAGAGATTGCAGATCCGCCCGAGCGTCAAGTCTCCCTGACGTTGAAAGGCTGTCAGTGGTGTGTGATGGCATGCTCCCTCCTAAGGCAGCCGACAGAAGTTGGGGCCTCGGACTTCATGTGCTTCAGAGCATCGTGCAGTTGAGTGCACGGAATCATCGACCCCAAAAATCCACGCTTCAAGAGGCTCTGTTCGTTGTCGAGTTTTCGCCTGAATAGCAGAATCAATCGCTTTCTCAACTTGTGTTTGCATGCTCCTTGAAATCGGATCTGCTTAGTTGTTGAAACCTTCGATATTGGGTTCTGACGTGGCATGGGGACTGGAAATTATCATCAGCTTGCCAAATACCAGACGCGCTACTGTGCTGGCAAACACCTTGGTTCCTTGGTATCAATCAACAATGCCGCAGGTGAAAGCTCATGGGAATGACGAGAGACGGCACAGCATGAAATCGCAACGTGTTCGGTTGCTGTGTTTAGGTAAAGTGACGTGCATTTTGCTTGCGGCATGATTGCTCATGTTGCTTTGCTAGGGCTGCACAGTTTGCTCAGTCCTGGCTTGATTCCACCTGGGGTCGAATGCTCCTGGCCAGATCGGCATTTCTTCAATAGTTTGCAGAGCTCGAGACCATTGGAATCGGCAGACAAGTGACAGCGTCTGCGTGATCTTGTGTCGTCGAGGTGATCGGATGCTGCGGCTTCCCTTGCCTCACGGGCGGCTACCAGGCAGGCAGCGGCAGGCTCCGGGTTTTGTCATGAAGCCACAAGAACACGCGCAAGAAACAGGTCATATACGTCAGTGACGACGAGGAAGACCCGCAGGAGCCTGCCTTGCAGCCCGGGACTGACAGGAGTGAAAGCCGCTACACGCTTTGGCTTTGAGCACAGTTGTTTTAGCCTTGAGCCTTGACGTTTCCAAGCCCTTAGGCCACTGGGTTCCCTGGCCTCCTTGGAGGGTGGGCTGAGTCCCCAAGTGCTGGGGATGGATTCCATGGACACCAGCCGCCCGGTTGCAACATGTGCTGAAATTCGTTTGAACTGTGCCGCGCAATGGTTCACTTGTGCTTATGCCTGCATCGAAGTCTAAATCTAAATGAAGGTGCGGACGACGCCTTGAAGAACGTTAGGCGGGGCTTGCCATCTGCAACCACATTATGTTCTTGTTGAGTCCTGAATGCTTGTAGAAGCAGGTCTAAGACTCGTCGATGTCTATCACAATAAAGTGTACTTCTCCATGCTGCAGGTCGAAACACACTGCCGCGTCCAAAAACACTTCCGGCCCCATGACTCGCAGGCCAACTAAGCTGTTCTGTGTTCTGTGACGGGTAGAAACATGTGTGGGTCTCGGTAGTCGGAGCCGGCTGCAAGCAGCAATGACGTGGAGACTGACTGCGCAGACCTGTAGGTCCTTTTGATTTTGTTGGCACCATAACTGCGCTTGGGAGCTTGTAGACAAGCATGAAGAGGCTTTCGACAAACGCTGCGAAAAAAGATGAATCTGGCGAATCATTCCAGAAGTGTGGAATGCTTGACAACTGTAAATTGTAACACGTGTAAAACCTTTGCACCACCTGGCCAACATGACTTATTGGAGGTCGCGTGGTGAGTCCAACGCGTCAATAGACGACAAGCCTGGCCCTCAACTTTCCTGGGCCATCGTGTGGCTGAAGCGGCCCGAAGACCCTTTTTTGTTGCACTGCTGTACCGAGGAAGAAGGCACGTTTGCCCAAGCATCTGGCACAGACCCCAGAACGTAGCGGTATCCAGTACCTCAGTGCGTCGAGTGCAGCTTGTCTTGGACTTGTGACCTCAGCCCTGCTTCAGAGGGACGGAGGGAGAGCTTCGCCCCAGTTGTATTATATTTGGCTCTGCTCAGGCCACGCTGAGAGTGGCTCGCGGAAGCGAGGAGACCTGTTTGCAAGACCGTCGGCAGTTTTGGAGCTTCTTGTGCTCCAGGGTCCAAAACTTGCTCAGCGTTGGCAAGTCAAACCCCGAATCCGCTTCTTCTTGGTAGAATCGTAGAAAGTCAGTAATGAACCTACGCTGGTTGGCCCTCGCATGCACATGGGCTCGCATCCGCGGCCGATTCCAAATGAGTTCCTGTGTAGGCTTCAGAGCAATAAATGCAAAAGAACTGGCAGCGTTCCAGGCCAGGCACCCCAGAAATTAGCTCTTCGGGCAACTGGCAGGAGCCAGCCAGCAGAACTGGATCACCACTTCCGAGACCGGTGCCCAGTGTGAAGCTGTGCAGTAATTGGATCTATAAGAGAGACATCAAGTCAGCGGGATGACGAGAGACCAGTTGGGAACCCCATTACTAGCTGCTGTCCAGGTTGCAGCTGCCCAGATGTAGCATGAAGTGTGCAGGGTATGGGTTCGGTGATATTGTGATGTGACTTAGCTTGGCTTGACGTCTGCATGCAGGCCCTGCTGCCTCGAAGGTGGCACACTTTCCCGGGCTATCTCTGCTGTTCTTTGTCCGCTAGCCGCTGGTAACTAGTACTGGTGCAGTACCGTGCCGTCAAATCGGGAGTTTTCTGGCGGCAGGCTGCGCAACCACCCTCCGGGCCCGAGAAAAGTGGCAGCGAGATGAAGCTGTCACTTTAAGCCAAGGAAATTTTGTCGCACCACTGTGGAGAGCACAGTCGGCAAAAGGAAGCCTGAAGCAACGTCAAATGTAGCATCTCAAGTCGGCCGTGCCTCCGACACTTGCTGTGAGCACCCGCCTCAGAGCAGCTTCGCGTAATGGGCGCAAGACACTAGTTCCGCTCTCGTATGCGTGTCCATCGCAGAATCTGCGATTGCATAGGTTGCAAATGCATCGCCCTCATGAGATGATGGCAACATTGGGTTCGTGGCATCATGCAAAGCCAGATGACGCGACAACTCCAGCAACAGGGCAGGGCAGAGCGGCTTGCACTGCTGCACTTGGGTTGGGTCGAGTAAAGCAAGTTTAGATTCTAGATTCTATGCATACAGATGCCCTGGGCAGCTGGGCCCTGAAGGCAGGTGCAATAGCGCTAGTATTCAGGCCATTCAGGCGAGGTACGATTCCACAGACAAAGTCTGGTGGAATTCGCATGTGCCGCTGTGCGGTTCGTGATCCGAAAGCCGGGCTGACGTTAAGCGAGGGTGACTCGCAATGCAGCTCGACTTCTGCAGATCAGTAGCCAAAAGTGCCTGATGCGCTCTGGTTCTTTAGTTACGTCAATGCAGAGAACACAAGCTGATTCTTTGCCACATCTGAGCACGTTGACTCACGAGCATCAGGGGCGGCTCACGCCGACTTCCTCGACTGGAACTCTGCATGCACATGCCTCGAGATGCTGTAAAATCCAGCCGTTGGACTGCGTCCGTCCGAGGCAGTCCCACGTGAAGGGCCACAAGGCAAGAACGGAGGAGGCACAAGCCAGAAGCTGATACTCTCAAGTGGTCACTCAGTCCAGTGTGTCACTTCGCTTGCGCAGGTGTGCATCCGGTTTCAGCTTCCGACTCCTTGATGGTAAGCTCAATTCCATCAGGCTCCCCGTGTGCCTCGTGCCAAAACGCAACTCGAAATCAACGAGTTCCGAGCGCATCACCCAAACGACACGCCAAGACGTGAGCAGGACGAGTCTTCAGAACTCCTGCAGGGAATGCTTGTGCTCGTGCCAGATCAGCTCATGACGACTGGGCAAAGACAAAGACGGATCCTCTCCGAGGCCGATCAAAGGCAGGAGCCTCGGCGGCTTGGACTGCCAGTCGCAAATTTGAATCGGAGCCGCTTGGGCAGGAAGCGGACGGGTTCCGTGGCATCGAGTGGCCAAAGCCTCGGAGAAGCTCTGGCACAGCGAACACCTGGCCCTCTGCCGTACGACTGCAAGGCTCAAGTTGGGGCTCTTAGACCACTGAAATGAAACTGACAGTGTGCTCCAGACCCCAAGCAACCTAGCGGCCGAATCTGAGCTGCTGCGAGTTGCGAGCTTTCAGACCTCACTGCATGACCCCATAAGTAAGACTAAGCAAGCCAAGAATCAGAAAACGATTCCAATGCGGGCTGCCGGAGCATGGCGGAACGCGTTCGAGTCTCTCTTCCCGCAGGAGCTCGCCAGGCAGGAGTTCAATTAGGTGACTGGCAAACCTGCTTCTGTAGCCACTTCGCCGCCAGCGGTTGTGAGGTCCATGCACTGCCGCTGAGCGACCATGAAACTGCGGTGCTGCGCTGGACAGCCGTTGTCCTGGACGAGCGCATCCTGAACATGCAACAAGAGCGAAGATCTCCCTTGCTTCCGACACCTCCAACTGAAGCCGTAAGAACCCATGCGGCAAACGGTCCGAGAGATTTTTGAAGAGCTCCGGGATCGTGCTTAACGAAGGCACGGTGGAGCTTGAAGTTTGCGCTCAGCTTCATTCAGAGGACCCGGGGACATATGCAGAGTAGAGCGCTCGCTGCGAGCTGCAACCCTCCAGATCGCTTCCACAGCCACTGCTGGAGCCAACCTCAGCAGCCGCTAGCAGTGGAAGCTAGTGGCAGGAGGGCGCCCAGCGGATTCAACTGGCTCGAGCGGCCTGCGGTGGAACTTTCGCGCCTCGACAGATGAAGCTTCCAAGGATTCGAAGCCGGCTGGTCATCAGACGTCTACAGCCAAAGCTCTCGTGATTACTTATCTGTCGTTTGGTGCGGCACACCAACCTTTCACGACTTTCAGCTAAACCGAGGTTGGCCGATTTGTGCCGTGCCGACCAGTCTGCATTATTTCCGATTTTCGCATCGCGGTCGATATCGTTCGATTCTCATGTTGCCCAAATCGTGGCAAGGCGAAGATCGCCGCTTAAAGGCCGTGAAAGCCAAGTCCAAGCAGCTGGGCCAAGCCATTTTGCCTTTGCCGGAGCGGGCACATACCACGTTTGCCTTGAGCAAAAGTCCCAGGATACTGGACTCCGTGGTCTTCTTCTTCAGCAACGCTTCGAGCTGGTTTGCGCACAAAGAGGCCGCTATAGCAAAGATTAGAGACAAGGAGGCGGGAAAGACTGGGCAACGTGCCGGGCTAAGGTGGAACTGATCACGCTCTGGGAAGACCTGCCGTTCCAACAAGGCAGGAGCTCCGTGGCAAATTGACATGTGTGCAATTGCCAGCAACGGATTCTGCAGACTGAAAGACGTCAGCTTTAGTGTTCGACTGGTGCCTGTTCCGGCCGAGGCCGCAGCATCTCACGGGAAGCGAAGGCAGTTGAGGACACTTGTCTGTTCGACGTCAAGTGGGCTTCTCGCCCCACGCTTCAGTTTGTTGAACTCGTTTGCCAGGACTCCGCGGCATGTCCGCTGGATGTGCTGATACCTCAGAGCTTTCATACAATGTCATACAACAACCTAGGCGAATACAACTCAGCAAATCAGTCCACGAACTAGTCCAGGCGTCCGTTGCAAGCATGAATGAGAGGATCGGCGGCAGGTAGTTGAGGGTTACGGACATAGAGCTCGGCACCTTGCGACAGACGGTGGGCCACTGCATAATTAGTAGGAGATCGTGCTACAGGTACCCGGACGGGGACGGCGACCAAGAAGACGATTGGGGCTATGACTGGGTTGATGAATCTGGCCGCTGGGATTGAACATGAAGCTTTGCCACAGGAAAGATGAATTTCCCATGGTCTTACTGCCTTTGTCATTCTGTTGACGTCTACCGGGTTGTGACATGCCCATGTCGTGGTCAGGTGATACTGTTGATGCATCGCCGACCCCATCGACAGAGGCATACTATCCCAAGAAGCCCAGTGCTTGCAAGTCTTGTGCGGTGCAACGACTTCCCGACCTGATGCGGAAGGAGGATGAAGAAACTGCGCGGAGAGCTCGCTGCGTGACGGGAACAGGGGCTTCGCATGAAAGGCTGAGGTTTTGAATTCAGGTCTTCGGCGTTCCTGCGTTTTGCACCTCGCCCAGGTGCCCTTGCAAAGGCGCAGCGCTACGGCCATGCAGTGTGAACACGAGCGAGCGCAGCCCAGCGCGACCTTGCCCATTACTTGATTGCAGGTGCTGTTATGCCAGAAGCCCTGGCATTTCTGTAAGCTTTCTGTAGAGTCTGTAGAGCCGGTGATGTGCAACCACATGCTGAGATCATAAACGCTATCAGAAAGAGGCTCCAATGGAAAGCTTTGCTGCACAACATCAGCTTTTAGTCATAGATCGAATCACTGCTTAGGGATCGCCAAAAGCTCGCGATCGAGATCTGAGTCGTAGGAACGGTGCAGCAGGTGGTACCGGTCGAAAACTGGACGAAGTGATGCTTGCGCAAGCGGCAAGGGGACCGCAGCAGCGCGGCGCTTCCGTTATCTCTCGTTGACCTGCGACCTTCTGCGCTGAGGAAAGGCCTCGCACACGGCACCGGCAGCTCGGCGTGCTTGCTTCGAACAGATCTCTAGGGATTGTCATGCTGTGCTTCGGCAGCGTGAAGGCTGTCGATCTCGCACAAAGCACGGCAGTTTGGACAGGGTAAGTTTACGGCGAATGGCTTTTCCATGTCCTACAACACATGCATAAGATGCATGGGCGGAGATCAGCCCAAAACTTCCACAGCACCTCTTACTCAGGATGGTACCTTGCACGAGATCCGACATGCTGCGCATGCATCGAGCTTCGAACAAGACTGTAGACGAATGAAGACGCCCGAACTTTCAAGCCCTGTGGGCGCCCCAAGAAGAGACGGATCCAAGTTGCCGAAGGTTTCACTGAGCGGTAGTCCGATGTAGAAAGCTCCATCGAGATTTGTGCCAGGTTGCCAGCATGGAATGTGCTCCCGCACTTGTGTCGGAGGAGCCAAGGCGTGGTAGTCAGAGCTATGCAGCGGAAGTATACCATTCTGCCTTTTTCTTTGGTAACCTGCTAGGTCTCAGACCTCCTCCAGTGCAGCATCCAAGGAGGACGGTGCAACCTCGCATGCACATCCTGGTTCAGTTGTACTTCCTGTACTTTGCATCTTGCGGCAGAGACCGTAGAAACCCCAGCTGCAGGCAGCGTTGGGAAAGGCGAAAGAGGCGGCTTATGCCTGGCAAAGGGATGTGCTCTCTTGAGCCTCAGCTTGGAATGTCCCGGTCCTGACCAGAAATTCAAGCGCAGCCGAACGGTGCCCACCCTGCCGGCACCTGGAGTCATAGCCCGAGCGGTTTTCAGGAAGTGGGCCGGCCATGGCCCCTCCCGGCCTCCAGTGCTAAGATGTGCTAAGGTTACGAAGCCGCTTCTGCACAGCAGCACCCTGCCGGCTGTTGAGGGTGCCGAGGCCTCCACAATGCAGCCTCGGTGCACGTCGCTAGCCGCTAGACAGACATGGCATTGCCTGCCAGGGTGATCGGCGATCTGGCTCCTTGGCTGGTTCTCCGTTTCACAGAATGCAGGGGGAAGCTAGCCCAATCTAGCCAGCCTCTAGCCCAAAAAGGTGCGGGAACCAGTAGGCATTGCTTCAGTCACAGCCCTCGGTCAGGCTCGGCAGAGGAACTCGGTACCGCCGAATTTCCGCAACGATCAAGGCCAGCCAGCCAATGGTAGGCATGCGAGGGCGCAATCCCGGGGCTCGAAAGATAGTGCCCGCCAGGCACAGCCGAGATCGATTTGGCTCCCAGGAATGGGATAAGGTGGAGCTGAGCATGTGAGTGTGGAGAGCCTGACTGAAGTGCTGCCACGAGATGTCGCACGGTCGCTGTATGCGCAGTGTAATCCAGCGTGTGTAGGGTTAGACAGTCAGACAGACACAAGGTTCGCGGCGGCTAGCCCTGACACCCTGAACTCGCGGTAGTACGGTATCACCGTGCAACTGCGAGAACTTCTGCGACACATCGAAAACTCTTCCGGGCAAGACCTGCAAGCGACAGAACTTCGGATTACCAAGCGACGACGTCAAGTCGAGACGAGATTCTGCAGCGAGGGGTTCGCAGAGCCGGTAATCTATGGTGGGAAGTCTTGGTGTTGGCAACACCCGGACACACACTTTCCGGAGGCACCGGTGAAGCCCAGATCGCAGGGACCTCGATGCCTTCGCTCAGGGAGATCTTCCGAGGTGTTGAGTCCTGGCCAGGAAAGACATGATGGTCACCGCCATGCGGAGTCAGGAGTGGATGCCTGGAGCCCAATTCCATCGGCGTTCGGGCGACGGGACACGTGACTAGGGGTCTCTGGGCATCTCGCCTTGTCCAAGGTCTCAAGTGGCATGAGGCAAGGTGAATTGCTGCCACCGGCTACGATGCCAGATGCCATCGACATAGGAATCCCAGACCTCAGGGATGTTGTCAGCGGGTGCATCCCCTTCCGATTCTTTGCCCTTGATCGCGGTGGAGTAGTGGGTCCAGAATACGACAGCAGAGTTGCAGGATTCCTCGCCGCAAGCTGCGACCCTGAAAGAGGAATAAAGATCTCCATGTCTCACCATTTTTGCAGCAAGCGGACCCCTTCGCCTGCTGGTTTTGTGTGTAGTTCCATCGTTCCACGGTACCAGCCGTTTCAAACGTCTGACAGTGATGTCATTGGAAGCTTCTACGGGTTCGGGAGGCGAGACTGGGAGTGTACGTAATCGTTTAAGAGAGAGGAATCAAAGGGCCGAGGCTTCCAATAGCTCAGAGTCCAAAGAGTTTGCTGGAACGCCCTTTGGGGCCAGGATGGATGGGCACACAGGTGTTGCAGCTGGCCGCCGAAACTGAGCATTTCTGCTCTTCGCAGTCACTGGCTCCATCCAGACCCCTCGTGCGAAACCGACACTGTTTGTCAAACCCGCCGTTCTGCTAAGCAGCCACAGGAATGTGAAGGTCTCACCTTGTTTTGATGTCCGGACGAGGAGTGCAAGCAGACTCATTGCTGGCACCGGAGAGCATGGCTCCGGCCAAAGTCGTTGCAGCTCATGTTCTCATGTGTGCAAGAAAGGCTTTCCATGTTAGGTCATTTGCGAAGTGTCTCAAGGATCACCGGCATGCTTGGCACTGAACAATGGGGACAGCCCTCCTGAATAGCATGCGTAGACAAGTTGCAGGTATGCAAGGCAGTCGAAACAAGACTTGCCGTGAAAGCTACAGTCCTAGACTCCTCGACAGTGGTTTCGCCATGCACACGCACCTGTGCCTGCTGTGAGCCTCTCCTCCAGCTGTCATCGCCTCAGTGGACGTTGTGTGCACAAGTCCCTTGAATCTTGATGGAAGATCTAGCACTATCTAGCATATTTTTGCATCATGTCAGTAGTCAGGATTTCAACTGAAGCCTTGCTGCTCGTGCATTCTGTACCTTAGCACGGCTCATGAGATCCATGTCAACAGTGATGGCTTCTTGCAGCTTTGCGGCTCGCAGTTTCCAGTGGCAGATTTTGATCTCCGCCGTCTCGTGGAGCTTGCTTTGGCGCAGCGATGGGACGCTTGGTTAGTTCCCAGCCTCTGCCGGTAAGCTTTCATGATCCAAAACATGGCTGAGGTCGGGTGCGATTGCCCAGCAGGCTAGCAGAAAGACTTGACTTTCACAGAAACGAAGACAAGCCAGAAAACCTATACCTATACTGGCTAGGCTAGGAGCATCTAGGAGCACAGGGGGCCTCTGTCAAGGATTGCTACGCTCGGAGCAGATGAAATATGGTATGCGCTTTGGCCGCTATAAGAGATCTCCGAGGCGTCGTCGTGTTACTTGGGTCTGAGGCTCGTGCTGCCAGTCAACGAAGCACGACGCATTGTTGGTCAACTAGGGAAGGACTCGAACTTGCAGCGGCTTGTCAGCAGATGGTGGTGAGGGCTGGTGGGGATCTCGTTTGCCTCCTGTGCATTTGAAACCTAAAAGAATCTTGTCCTAAGCGCTCGCAAGTGATAGGTTCGAAGACGACAATGCGCGTGACATGCGCCGTCCCTACCGCAAACACATTCAGCGAATTGATGCTCGGATGATGTGGCGAAAGTTGGGCTCGGAGTATTGCTGGAGAGTGCCGCCATTTGCGCTGGGCTTCTTGAGTTCAGGACGAGATGGAGCGGATCATCCGCTTCCTCATTCAGGAGATTAGCTCGCTTGAGGGCTGCCAGCTGATTAAGAACAAGGCAGCTTTGAAGAGCCGTCCTGTTGATTTGCTTTGCACTGGGAAGCGGGTCTGACTGGTGCAGGTCGATGAGTTCCTACAGACAGACGACACTTACACCCTAGAGGCTGTTGAAGGTGAGCTTCAGTCGTTGTACCAGAACTTCCTCAGATTCAAGGACGAGAAGCTGTGGAGATGCTCGGTTTAGCGCTCCTTCACTCGACATCTGGCAGGAGAACAACGTCAATCTCACAAATGAGCGCAATCAGGCGGGCACACGGCTCGGCAAACTCCGCACCGCGCTGGGCTCTCCGCTTCGTTTCCGCAGGCAGTCGAGGAAGCCGAAGTAGTGGCCGTGGCGCGTGCCGCTTGGACCTTCGAAGAACTTGAACTCTTTTTTGAACCGCCTGAAGAAGCCGCCTTGCAACAAAAGTGCATGCGTTGGAAAGCTTACGCAATGGCACCACGGCACAGAAAGTCCTGGTGTTCCTTCCACTGGAAGTTGGCCCAGGAAATGCTCACGGGCTCTCGACCGTCTCCTGACTACGTGACAGAAGAGGAGAGCTTCGAGAGCAGCGCCAAGAAGCCTTTGCTGGCCACATGGCGGCAAGTCGGCCAAGCACCTGCTGCCATGGGTTGTTACTTTGCCGGCATCCGTTTGTCGAGTCGCACCGGGAATTAGCAGTCTTTTGTGCTGCGCTGATCGAGCAGCTTGATCGACGACCATATATCCGATTTCCCAAGACTGCAAGTGGCTTGAGTTGATCTGACTGCCAGGGTGGTGAAGAGGTGGCCGTCGGCACCGGCAGGCGCAGCTGAGAGTGGACGAACATAAAGTATTGAAGTCCGTGTCATGCAGGTTAGGCTATTTGGCTGGGGTCGTGCTGAAGACGGATGAGGCATGACTTGCTCCATGTGTAAATCGCACTGCGACCGAAGCCTTGGGCATTGGAAGCAAAATCTACTATAAGGCATGGTCAGGCCGTACGTAGCGTCATGCCATGGTGCTGCAAGCAACGCATCGTGAACGGTAGTATTGATATGAAGGCCGTACAGCACACAGAGATTGAATACAGAAGCCATGCTCAGCAGCTCAAACGAAGGCACGCTTCGCCCGCGCACTTTGGCGGGCGGCACGTGGCAACACTTTCACGTACTTTGGACTCAGTTAGCTTTCTTTTGGACGCGGCTTAGGCTTAGACTTGCAGGGATCCCTGGAGAACTCTGCTCGGGCACTCGCTAAGTTTTTGAGGCAGTTCACACCCATCAGCCAGTCGGTGAAGGATCCGAAGACAGGCCTGGAACAAGACTTGATGCAGCACGCATGAGCAGGATCTCGTCCGTCCTGGAACAGGTCAGGATGTGCAGAAGTCCGTGTTCGTGGTCTACTTCCAGGGTGCTGGAGGGCCCATGCAGCAAAAGGTGCTGAAGGTTTGTTCTGCCTTTGGAACCTCAGCTTGCAGTGTGGACATACTACTCATATCGTGAGTTGCATTGTCACCTCACGTGCGAGGCACATGCAGCTGCATACCACGGCTGAGGTGTCAACATGTACAATTGGCCAGCAAGTGCCGAGTTGGCCAAAACCCGTCATGCTCACTTGCTTAGTGTGGTCAGCTCCTGAGGGGACGTCTATCCCTGCACGCTGAAAGTTACAGTGGCAGTGCAAGAGATGCTTCGCAGAGGGTCGGTCCATCTACTCGTAAGGTGAAGGAGAAGGACACGGCTTTGGAGGGCTATCAGTTCTTCATGAAGACAGAGGCCAAGGACCTGTTGGCACCGCCAAGCCGCATGGCTTGAAGGTGGCATGCTCCTGCTTGGCACGGATCTGCGAGCTGCAGACGTGCCTTCTGCAAAGGTCAGAACCCGCAGGCCAACTCAAAGCTGGAAGAGTGGCGGCTGTTTTGCATCAAGGCACGGAGAATATAGGCAGTACCTGTACACCTGGACACTAGTGATGGCACCCGTGCGAGGAGAAGTCCATCTTCAACATCCTCAATCTCTGTTCAGGAGAGATTGCATTGAGGTTGGCTTGCGACGCCGTTCTGTGGACCGGAGTCTGAGTCTTTCACGGTGTGACACAGCTGGCTTGTCAGGGTGAATGTTTGGTACCCGGCTGCAGAAGAGGCAGGGATCAAAGCCTTGCTGCAGAAGCTGAATGCCGCTTGCCAGCAGGACGTGCACCACTCGGGTGGACTAGCTGCAATCAAAACTGCCTGCAATCCGGCTAAGGCAGGCTCATCCCAGGGAGCTTTCCTGACTCCGGACAAGAACGTGAAGTCTGCACCGCCGACGTATATTCGGGTGAACGACTACACCGAGGCCACTTTTGTTGCCCCCACAGCTGCAAGAAGGGGCGCTTTGCTGTATTGCAGGTGTGGCAAGATGTCATCGACACCTACGGAATTCCCAAATATCAGGAGATTGGTTGGGATGTATTGAACCGGAGCCCAGCACACCCTGGGCTCAGGAGGCCAACCCTGCCCTCCTCACCGTGGTCACGTTCCCCTTCATCTTCGGTATGATGTACGGTGATGTAGCTGGCCCAGCCTGTTGTCTTTACTGGGTGCTCAAACTTTTCGACCTGAGGTGGGTCATGGCATCCTGCTGTTCCTTGCTGGGATCTGGCTCTGCATGAATGCCGAGACTTTCCGATTCACCCAGCCATCTTTGTTCACAGCCCGATACATGGTTGTCAGCTTAGGCCGCTCGGGCAGCACATACAAGCGGAGCTTGTTGACACGAGCAATTCTGTCGTAGTGCTGTGTTCACTTGGACAGGCTTCTTCGCGATTTTCGCTGGCTTCATGTACAACGACTTCTTCTCAGTGGGTCTGCAAATCTTCGACTCCAGATACAAGGCTCCCGTTTTCGCACAAAGAGCCGGAAGGCGGGCTGACCTGAGTCGATGGCAGGATGCAGGCGGAGGCAACTTCGTTCCCACTTTCGATGCTACCCTGCATGCAAGCAGACGGGTCTGAACGAGTTGTACAAGCTTAGTCTTGGGCATTCAGCGGCTTCTAAGCATGAGGTCCCAGCACCCAAAATGGCTACGGCTCAAGCCAATTTTCGCTCAGCACACGTCGTGAGACGAGCTGGCCGAGAAGAGAAGCGCCCGCGAGAATGGCTGTAGTCAGCAAGATGGCGCGCTCGAACGGCCGCCTTGGAGCCCCGACGTGCAGCAGCCAAGTGCAGCCAAACAGTGGCCACGCGCAGCGAAGCAGGAGTCTCTCGAAGGACTCTCAGAGCTCGTGGGCTTGGCAGAGCAGCTCGTCGGCCAGGGCCAGCAGTGCCGACAAGCGGCGCTGCAGCGTCCTTGCTGCTGACATTCAGCCTTACCCTGCAGCCTGCCTTTGCAGCAGATGCAGTAAATTATACTTCGATGTCACGTAATCCAGATGTCGAGATGGTGCGCGTTCAGGGCGATCAGCTCTCTGCACAGTGCAGGACCAAGGATGGTGCTCGCAAAGAGGTGAACTTGATCCCCAACGCGCAGATTGAGGTGATGCAAACTCCTGGAGCTAATCCGGCGGGCCTCTGGACTTTCTCGCTCGCTTCGCGGGTCCCATCGCTTGGCTCATCGCAGGTCTGCTCTTCCTCTTCGGAGGAGCCGGCATGGGAGGGCCAGCCGGACCCGGTGGCCAGTGTGGGAACCCTTTCGAGCTTGGCAAGCCCAAGGAATCATCAAGGATGGGGACACGAAGGTCAACTTCGCAGACGTTCCTCTGCTTCGGAACTCATTGAGCTCTTCGTCGGGGTGGGTTTAAGCAGGCCAAGGAGAAGGCGCCCGGCATCGTCTTCATCGATGAGATCGATGCCATCGGAAGACAGCGCGGTGCCGGCATGGGCGGCGGCAATGACGAGCGAGAGCAGACGTTGAATACGGAGATGGACGGCCTCGAAGGCAACAGTGGCGTGATTGTCGTCGCGGCCACCAACAGGTCGGACATCCTCGACAACGCCCTGCTGCGTCCTGGACGCGTCGACCGCCGGGCGCAGGTCGGCCTGCCAGATGTCAAGGGGCGGGCCCAGATTCTGGAGGTCCACGTTAAGAGCAAGAAGTTGATTGGAGAGATCACGCTCATGGACATTGCCAAGCACACTGCAGGATTCTCTGGTGCTGATCTCGAGAACCTCATGAACGAGTCGGCCATCCGGGCTGCTCGCCGCAACAAGAAGGCCATCAGCATGGATGAAATCAACGATGCCACGGATCTGTTCATAGCCGGATGGGATGGCCGAGCCTTGCAGGACAACGCAGCCAAAAAGCTCATCGCTTACCACGAAGCAGGACATGCTATCGTTGGCACGCTGCTGCCGTATCATGACCATGTCAACAAGACCCTGATCCCTCGCGGGCAGGAAAATGTCTCACGTGGTTCACGCCCGGAGACGATCAGAGGCTCATCTCGCCATGCTCAAGGAGCGCATCGCCAGCGCCTGGGTGGCCGAGCCAAAGAGCAGCTGGCCTTTGGTACGAGGCAGGTCCCGCTGGACGCGGGCGGCGATCTCCAACAGGTCGAGCGCATGGCTCGTGCCATGGTCACGCTGCAGTTCGGCATGTCCGGAGGTCGGTTCTCTGGCCATCGATGACGGCGGCTTTATGGGCCCGGACTACTCCAGAGGAGCTGAGCTCGAAGATTGACAATGCTATCAAGGAAATCTCGGATGATTGCTATTTGAATGCGCTGAACATCCTGATGACCAACCGGGCTTGCCTGGGCCGGGTGGCCGATGAGCTCACCGAGACAGACCATGACCGGCGACCGCCTTCGGGAGCTCATTGCCGAGTACGTGGAGATTCCCAGCAAGCTTGCTGCCGTGTGAGCGGGCAGAGGGCTGGTCGTCTGCAGCACTGCTGCTTCACGCGAGATCTATTTCTGAGTGGATCTAACTGAGAGGTTTGTGTATCAGGCATAGGTTCATAAGCAAGTACTTTTGGGACAAGGCAGCTCTTAACAAATAGATCACTCATGCTAGACCTGGATGCAACGGCAGAGAGAGAGAGAGGAGTCCGAAACAAAACTCTGCTCGGACATTGCCAGAACCTGTGGGCGACCATGCTCTGGAAGCTAGAAGGAGTTTAGCTTGCAATCCGCCTGCAGGCCACAAGTCGATTTCTTTGAACACGCTGGGTTCTTCTTCTGGGCCTTGGCACAAGCTCACGGTAAGTGATAGTGCCCCTGTTACAGAAGCCAAAAATACGTACGCATTTACTCTCTAGGTTCCGTATACTTTCACATTTCTGAAAGTCCTCAGCCTACGCAGGCACGCAGACGATCTTGTCTTTGAATTTGAGTACAGCCGACAATGTCTCAATTCTTAGATGAGCCGCGCTCACGAACATTTTCGGCAGAGGGACCACCGACCACAAAGCTTCCGCTTTCACCAAGAGCTTCAAGGACTGTCGAATCCCAAGTTTAGGTAGGGGCTTAGGCCTACCAAGCGGTCGTCGGTGTGCCCGGCTGCCTGACACCTTCGATGTCGATTCCTGGAGGAAAGATGCAGGAATCTGTAGACTTCTGTAGAGCTACTTTCTCCCTGTATACTACAGTTACTGCCCGTTTACAGTGTATAGCCTACTTCTGGTAGCAGTCGCTGTGGCAATACGAGACGCCCAAGAGTGGTGTTCTAGCCTATTCAAGCCCTGTTTGCCAACGTAAGTTCTACCCATAGACTGTGGGGAACCTCAGAGGGATTTCCCCCAAAAAAACCAGAACTCGATAGTGCAAAGCTGTAACTACCTTTATGAGCGCCTGACCACTGACTTTGGGGGCTTATTCTGCAGCTTACGGGTGTTGTTTCTTTCAACTATGTGCTTTGTTTAGTCGTGGGCAGAGGCTGACCTATTGAACCTCGCCTGGCTTGTCCGAGTTGCGAGAGCGTAACGGACCTAACGCTTGCCACGTTCCTAAACAGAACCCGAAGAAGAGCAGAGTTGCAGAAGTGGCTCAGGTGAAGAACGAAGGCGGCCCAGGACCATATCCCTTTGGCCTTGACTGGGCCTGGCACGGAGCCTTGCAGATACTTGCGAATCGTACCCTGCAGTTCAGCCCTGTGCTCCTTCACAGCTTTCCTCCTAGCCGTCCTTGCGTGCCTCGTTATTGCTCAGTCGTTTCATTCCGGCCAGCAAGACCTGCGAAGCTATGACAAATCCACACAGTGCTGGCGTTTCTGACTGCCGAGGAGCGAGCAACGAGCTGCTCTACGTCAACTCCTTGAAGATGAAACTGTCAGTTCTGTTCGGAGTCCTGCAAATGACAGTGGGCCTTATCTTGAGGCTGGTCATGCTCGCAGCGTTGTTGCGATGACAGGATAGAGGGCCCGATCGGTGACCGAAGGTGGAGCAATGCTTTCTACGAGAAGAACATGACCGATTTCCTTTGTGAGTGCATTCCCATGATGATCTTCATGTCACAGGCCCAGTGTGGCGAATGCGCTTCGGGTCAAAAGCAAGGTGACACAAATGGTAGACGGCCTCACCCAACATAGTTCAACACAGCTCAGGTTGTGCTTCTTCGGGTGGATGGACTGCATGATCTTGTACAAGCGCCGCAGCTGAAAGAGCGGAATCGGTGAACTTGAACAACACCCACAAGCAAGAAGCCAGGTGGGTGTATCCAATCGACAACCCTCCAAGCATCATCAATTCCTTGATTTGCAGCTTGGCTTCACCCCGGTGCTGAACAGAGTTTTTCCCCAGGGGAGTGGCCCGCTCAGGCATGGCCATGGGGCAGGAGGACAAGTTCCCACTGTGGCCGGGCTCTGTGGAACTGGCGCAGACCTTGATGGGGCAGCTTCGCAAGCATGGAGTGCAAAGCAAGCTTCGGGCGTGTTCCGCTACTCGTCGCTAGTTTCGTCCTGGTCTTCCGAAATGAAATTCACCCCATCGGTGTCGCGTGCGTTCTAGAGGCTAAGCGCGCTCTACTCAGACTCAACACGCCCGCTCAAGGTACACGATGCTGGCTGTCGCACACTCATTTGGCAGGAAGTCATAATGTTGCCGAGGGGGGAAGTCCGTATCATCACCGACGATCCAATTGAGGTGCCCATCATGCTTCTGCCGAAGCCGTTCGTTCTGTTGTACCAGCACAATTCTAAGCAGGTGCACCGTGTACCCTTGGCATGCGAGCTTGCACAAGCTTGTGCAGCATCTCGCAGTGGAGATCCCCAGGAGAAGAGCGACAATCTCGTGACAATTGACGAGGAGACAGGGCCCAGCTCGAACCACCACGGGTCGCCCGTCTGAAGTCGTTGGGATTCGGAATGCACTCCAGAGGTGCTCGCTGAACGGCCTCGCCTTCGAAGACGGTTCAAGCGTGACCTAGACGCTCCCTTACGCTGCCTCTCCCCGGACAGCTCATGGCCTACTCGCCACGCGCCGGGTCTGTCGGGTCCTTCGACGAGCTCGAAGCAAAAGAGCCGAGACTTCCGGCAATGCCGCAATCGCAATCTCGTGGATACTGGAACGCATCGAAAGTCTGCACAAAGGCTTCTTGGCATGAAGGTGCTGTAGCCAAACTTGGAGTGACCGTTTCAGCGCAGGGCGCCAGAAGAGGTGAGGGCGCAAGACGTCCAGCGAGCTGTTCGATTAGGGAAATAAGGTAGCAACAGTCTGCATGAGTATCCAGTGTTCCATGCCTTCAATTTGGAATATGTCGAAACTGTTCTTCCTTAAACTCTTCCAAGTCACTTCCAATTGACTTAGACTTGGCAACTGTTCCTCTGGATACAGGGTTCAAGCTAGCATGTCGCACAGGCTTCTTCCAGGATACTTGGCAAAGTGCTCGCAGAGCTTACCAACACCCCGGACCTCTATTACCCAGACGAGCATGCGGCATTTCGGAAGTTCGGCTTCGACAACCCCGATGCGGACGACGAGATGCCAGAGTGGGCCAATGAAGCCGACTCCGGGGCGCACAAGGACTCCACGTCTGATGCCCCGGAGCACGAGCACCGCGAGCGCGTGACTTGGAAGAAGATGAAGGATCGCCCGGGCCATCATCGACGGTACCAAACACGCCGGCAGAAGCGTGAGCCTGGAGCAGAGAGACCTGGCCTGGCAAGCCTCAAAGATTTAAGACGTCGTAGACTCGTCGTAGACGTAGATCAGGGAATGTCAGTGTAGCTTGGCACTTTGCTTCCTGCAAGGAGGACTTCCGAGCCGCCCATGGTGCCTTTGGTCGCTGGTGCCGTGAAGCCTCCCACGGACATGGCGCTGAGCCACCAGTAGCACTTTTTGCAGCGGAAGCAGCTTACGAAGTGACACCTCAGCTGCCTGACACGTGAGGCAGGTGGTCGTCACTCGTACACTTCATACTTTCGCGGTAGGTTTATCTCACTTGACTCGCCCCATAGGCAACGATGCTCCACTGTACATTATGCCCGTCGGCAATCAATGCCACGCTTGCCAGTACAGGTTCATTGGCATGGCTCATGTGCCGCAGTATGTTGACATTACCATCCTGCAAGCATACTCATACGACTCCTACCGTGTACCTCTTCGCTTGTTTGTCAGCCTTCTGCGCACTCTTCCAACATGCAGGCATTGCAGATTTAATCATGTGCCACATCGGGCCGCCCACGTTTTTCCCTCAAGGGAGAGCCCATGATGCGTGGGGATCATGGGCATGTACACAGTGAAGTATTGGTACAGGCATCGGGCTGCAGAAGTCACTCCGATTTGACAAAACACAGGAGACGGATGAGCCCTGAAAACCGAGGGCATCTTCAGTGGGCCTGGCTGAGCTCAGCAACTCAAGTGCCAAGCTGCGCAATCCAAGGCATGGCGAGGACTTCGAGTTTGGTGTCTTGCCTAATCTCTGATTAGGCCCAGGGCCCAGGCCTGCTTCGGCCTTCTCCCTTGAGAGATTTCTGTCATCTTCTGCAGTGCAAGAGACTTGGCCTGTACTTGGAGCAATCTCCTGAAAACAAAATCCGACATATTCAATGGCTGCATGAGCCATTAACTCGTCCTAGTGCTGTCCATGTGATGCTGACAAGAAGCCTCTAGTCCGTGCTTATCATCCCCTGCCTGTCGGATCAGCCACAGCCCCCAAAATCAACCTCACTTGCGACAACGCCTCCTACACACCAGAACATGCAAACGAAGTTTCCGTTGCGCACCTGCATCCTGCATTTACGTGTTTGCACACTTCCGTGGCATCTGCTCCCTCAGGTTGTGCGAGAGCTTAGCAGCTTGGGTTTTTCTCCGAGTGGTCGAGGGAGACATCACAGTTTAGGTGAGATTTTCATCCACCAGATCATTGAGACGATTGAGTTTGTGTTGGGCACGGTGTCGCATACGGCTTCGTACCTCCGCGACTTGCCATTGCATGTGGAGATCTTTCCGGGCCAGGGCCCAGGCGTGCTTCCGGAAGCACTTTGTAAATCCAAGGCATCTGGGCTCTCTCACTGGCTCATCAGCAGCTCTCCCTCGTCTTCTTCCAGAAGACGTTGACAATGGGCACCTGGACTTCCGAGTTTGAGAGTTGTGCTTGTAGCAAGTCCGACTCTCTGTGCTGAACTTCCGACTTGAGTAAAGGTTTGACAATGTCCTTCCCCATGAACGGGATCATGATCTACCTCATGTTTGCTGCGTGGTTCGCGATCACGCTGGCTGTCCTCCTTGGTATGGACGTGCTGGAATGCTTCTTGCACACCTTGCGGCTGCATTGGGTAGAGTTTCAGAGTAAGTTCTACAAGGCCGAGGGTTTGAAGTTCGCGCCCTACTCCATCAAGAAGCTGGTGACTCCGACGGGCGACGGAGAGTAGACACGCGGCGGGGAACCCACAGAGGTGCCCTGGACGCCTCTGGCCGCCTCTGGCCCTGTGAGGCAGCAGAGTGCCGCGCAGTTTTGGCATTGGTCAACAGTTTGAGTTGCTCTTTTGCAAATGTTTTGTAGCTTTCATCAGCTCGTCTCAGACAGCGAAAATCTGGGCCGTTCACATCTATGGACCAGTGCTGAGTCTTTATTTAGGTGGAGACATTTGGACTAGGACCCAAGGCTTCAAAGCATCGGTGCTCCAAGCATTACAGCCCTCCGGGCCCATCTTGAACCCATGGCTTTTGCAGCTGCTCCACACTTCAGCCTTCTGCTTGAAGCTCCAAGTAGTCCAAGCAGTGCGGGAGGATTTCAGGAGCACAAGGCTGAGGGCTGTCGCAAGCACTGTGAAGCGGTGCTGCAAAGGCTTGTTCCAGGAAAATATCGCTCGGCGTCTTTGGGCTTGACCGCCTTGCTAGCAGCTCCACGTCCTGCAGCATTTCTAACTACTTGCAGAGCTTGCCGAATTGCAAGGTTTATGTCAGGAGACGTCTGCCAAAATGGCTCTGCCATTTTGGACCAAGATCGTGACCTCGGGTCTTAAAGGAAATTTCGCCCGCCCTCCCTTCCCTATGGCTACGCTTGCTAAGCCTCCGGAGGCAATTCCTGACGCC